TAAGATGATTTCTATGAGTGTTTAAGTGAAAAATACTAAGAAGAATGTAGTATTCAATAAGTTTCATATTCTGCATTTGAACGGTAAAGTATTTCGCTGATCATACATGGCCGTCAAATGCCCTGGTACAGCCGAGAGTGCGTAGGGCTCGCCCTCTCTCTCGAAATGCTATCATATTGACACGCTTATACAGCCTCTGTCAGAGAAGTCCTACTCACTGCCTTCTCGTGGCACTACTGTTGTTTACGAGATTGAGAGGACGAAAAGCGAGTGTCCGGTGCTTTAAACGGGTTAGTGGACACGAAAAGTCATTCTAGCGGACTTGGAAAACCCTGATCCCAAACCAATGGTGCACATGGGCTCCAGTATCCTGAAGGAACAAACAGCGTATGAACCAGTCATAGGTTACCGCCTACCATGGGATTGCATCTCTTCACGATGCTCCACCGCCTTGTGGATCAGACCTTTAGATCACAGGCTCCAAATGTGGCCCCTCAAGAAAGCCACCTACTTCGGTCTGGGCACCCAAGAAGTACTATAGCTCTGACAAAAATAAATGAAATGACAATTTGTGTGACGCATATGTGTCTGATGCTCTTTTGTATCAATATTTATGTGTTCAAATAAATAAAGATAATACATAAGAATCATATCTCAATCTAATTTCAAACTTCGTAATCACTGTGTAGTAAAATTTATCGCTCAGGAATTTCATCACAAAATGTCTGATCATTGACATTAATGTTTAAACCTAGTCCTTATCCCTTAAAGTCACTAGCTATCATTAACAATATCTCACAATTTAACAAACGATTAAAATTTAAGCACAGTATCTCTTAACTATGAAAAGTAACGAATATGGATTATGTAACAATTTGATATACTTTAATAAATTCTGTGTACACAATGAATTTACGTATTTTACAATGTAAACATATGTGTCTTCTTTTATATATAGAGAAATTAAGTCATGTTCTAAATATATCTAATATTATCATAGTTGAAATCATGAGTCAATTGAAGCTAGACCACCATGGAAAACCTGGAAGCACTGGACGGCCGTTTTGTCCTATTATGGGACTCCTCAGCAGTGCGCTTCCAGGTTTTCGATGGTGGTCTAGCTTCAATTGCCTCATGATTTCAACTATGAAAATACTAAATTCTTCACAAAACCCCCTCTGACATCTAATATTAGTTTCGAAACATTTAATCGTTCATAAACCAGATATCCTTCTAAGACCGATATTAGACTCTACCAACACACCGACATATGCTTTGTCTAAACATCTAAGCAGCATATTAAAGCCACTACAACTTAAATTACATAATATGATTAAAGATACATATGACTTTAAATCATAATTATCGGAATTAAGTATCGAGAAGAATGAAGTCATGGTGAGCTTTGATGTTGTCTCTTTATACACTAGTATTCCTATTGATAAATGCTTAGAATTCATTAGTGGTTTACTAGAGAATGACAATACTCTTCCTGACAGATGTCCTTTAAGCGTCACTTTAATCATGACTTTAATCGACTCTATTCACTTTCAACTTCATATACCAACAAACTATTGGTGTAGTAATGACATCCCCAGAGTCCTCGATTGTGGCCAACCTTTTTATGGCACGCAGAATCAAATATTTTCACCAACGACGTTAAGCCACGAATTCGGCTTAGATATGTAGATGATACATTTGTAGTGATAAAAAAGACTCATCTAAGATTGTTGTCAAAACGGATAAATACACTTTCATCTCACATCAAATTCATGAATGAGAATGAAAATGAACATGGTGAGCTACCTTTCTTAGATTGCTTAGTGAAAAGAAATGTAAATGAAGTTCTAAATCTTTCCATCTACTGAAAGCCCATACACTCGAATCGTTATATTGACTTCCATTCCACACATCCTTCTTAGTGCTAAGATCTCGTTAGCCTTAAATCGTTTTAGAAGAGCCAACAAGATCATCACTTCAGAAGAGGACAAACTAATAGAACAAAAGAATGTAATTAGCATCTTACAATTTAATAATTTTCCTATGAAGATTATTAAAAGTATAGTAAAACAAAACAGTTTAGTACGTAATAATAATAATAACTCGAATGAAATGCCATGGATTGGTACTGCAGTTTTATCTTACCGTCATGGCACAACTGAAGAACTCCAAAGGATCTTGAAACAACACAGAATTAAAGTATATTACAAAACAACGAACACTCTTCGAAATACTTTAGTTAGATTCAAAGAAAAAATCCCATTCGCGTGTCTATACAAAACTGTGTCTACAAATTAGGCTGTGTCGATTGTGATGCCTTCTATATTGGAGAGTCATCTCGCAAAATCTTGACTCGAGCCAAAGAACATATTAGGTACATAAAGAAACCTCCTAATAATCTTGTAGAACTAGATAGACTTCAAATTAAATCGGCAATAGCAGTTCACACCATTTTCAACAATCATCAAATTTTATAGAGTTGAGATCATAAGTCAATTGAAGCTAGACCACCATAGAAAACCTGGAAGCACTGGTCGACCGCTTCGTCCTATTATGAGACTCTTCAGCAGTGCGCATCTACGATCTCAACTATTAAAATTACTATAATATCAATAAAACTCTGTTATAACGTATAGATTTTTGGGCCGACTAATATATATGTATATGTCCAATGATACAGAAAATACGTACGAGCAGTCTTGGGTGCTATTAGGTCCTTCCTATCTGCCTAGCCCAGCCGTTAAGTCCAGAACACAAATAACAGCCTCAGCAATATGAATCATTATTTACAAGCATAGTGGGTTATATATACTAACCAAACAGACCACATATATCAAAAATAGAAAAATAACATTTGTACAGTAATTGGCCAATATGGCTGTAGCTAAGGGGAAAGTAATCAATAATAATAGTTCCAAGGTCAAAATAAAGGTTATGATAAGAGGAACACGGAAACGATTAGGTCACTTATTTAACAACTATCCAATAGGAATAGGCGTATTACATTTGTCCATAAATGGACCTCAAATTTATGATTCATAATTCGCCAGGGGATACAACAAACTCCCTCTGATACATACTCTTTATTGAATATATTAGACAATCATTACTATTGTCCCATAATTATAATCTTATAATTGATAAGAGAGTTTTAATCATAGTTATTTAAAATCAATAATATATACAATTCAATATGATTTATGTATTACACCAAAATAATCGAAAATCAATAATATACTGTAATCGAAAATTATGATAAAAGGAGAATAGTAACAATCTTACGGGTAGATTACCCTTAAAACATGGATTGATAACTTTTAAAAATATCAGAGTCTAAAATTTGACCATATATTAGAAAGCTTACATACTTGACATAACGATTTTTAGAGCGTTTTTAGTTGTCTAGGCGTTAAGACATTTATAACACTAGTTGTATTGTTCGTGATTGTCCAAAAATAGAATACTATATATGAACAGCTAGTTCATGTTACATTAAAAGTTGTGATACAATATGGAAAGGTAAAAGAAACACGATAAATGAACTGATCTCAGGCGTCACGATGTTACGGCATCAGATCAACTGAAGTAAATTACTTGAAGATATACAGAAAGATCTATGGTGTCTTGATTCTGGATTTCCAATTTTTTCAGAATATTTATGAATCTGACATGCCTTCTAGAAATTTAAGTTTATAAGGTTATGAAATATGTTTATCAACTCATTAAACTCACAACCTCGCCAATGAGTCATCAACGAGTAAGATAATAACCCTCAATTTGTTGTAACTAGTCCTGTCTCAAACATATTCAAAAAGATGGGTTAACTAGTAAATACCAAATCCTATGGCTAATGTACCTACTTACTTACTTACGCTTGTTACTCCCAATGGAGCATAGGCCACCGACCACCATTCTCCAACACACTCTGTGGTTAGGCATTCCTTTCTAATTCTATCCAATTTTTGTTCATTCTTCTCATATCTGTCTACATTTCTCGGTGTAATTTGTTCGTTGGTTTTCCTCTTTTCCTTTGGTCTTGAGGATTCCATGTGAGTGCTTGCCTTGTAACGCAGCTGGCTGCTTTCCTCAATGTGCATACTATCCACTTCCAGCGCTTCTTCCTGATTTCTTCCTCCGCTGAAATATAATTGGTTCTCTCCCACAGTAGAATGTTGTTGATAGTGTCTGGTCAACGGATCCAACATTATTTTGCGTTAATAAACTGTTAATAAACACTTGTATCTTTTGGATAATGGCTTTCGTACTTCTCCACATCTCCGCCCCATACAGTAGAACAGTCTAGATATTTATATTAGAAATTTTGATATTAGTGTTGGTTGACAATTGTTTTGACTTCCAGATGTTCTTCAGTTGTAAATATGCTGCTCTTGCCTTGTCGATCTGCGTCTTCACATTTGCATCATAATCACCGTATTCATCAACGATGCTGCCCAGATATGTAAAGGTTTCCACATCCTCCAAAGCTTCTCCGTCAAGTGTAATTTGATTGGTGCATGTTGTATTGTATCGGAGAATCTTGCTTTTCCCTTTATTTACATTGAGACCTAATGCTGCTGAGGCTACTGCTACACTAGTCATCTTCTCCTGCATTTGTTGTTGCGTGTGTGATAGAAGAGCCAGATCATCTGCGTCTATTACCTTTTCTTAAAAAACGCTAACCAGCAAAGTGGCTAATACAGGCATTTTGATATTCAGTTTTTAAAACTGAACCATGGATAAGTAGTATAGGCAATGTCCAAACAAATATTCCGATGAAGCCAATGATGTTCCAATCGAAACTTGGGAACCAGAAACCTGATCATCTTAAGACAAACCCATCTACCCATCATTGTTATATATGATTGATTACTGTTTATTTCGTACAACCTAATAAAAGTCTATGATTCTTCATAATTATTTAGCTGATCCATCCCGCGATCACAATCTTCAAACAACCTTAAACCCCATTGTTCAAGCACAGTTACATATAACGAATAGTATAAGACAAATGGAAATTATTAAGTAAATAACAAACAAATTAAAGATACTCCAAACATGAAACTGAAAAAGGTCTAACAATAAAGATGTGATCATTATTATCATCATCATTTTTGGAACAGTTCACTTCTATGCAAGAAGTTTCTCAGCTACATGACGTTCAATAAATGTTGGCGGTTTATCAATAAGTTTTTTGTCTTCAAATTTATATGATTCCATTTCATTTGGATTGAAGTCATTTTCAGGTTGTTTACGATCCATACGTTGATGACGTAAGTTTAAACAATCATTTTCTATTTGTAAACTTTCTTCTTTTAATGTAATATCATCATTAATACGATTTAATTGTTTATGTAAAGCATTGAGTGCATGTCTGAAATAACAATTACAAATAAAAAAAGATGTCTACTAAACGAAAACGACTTATTATTATTTTCATAGTTGAGATCATGAGTCAATTGAAGCTAAACCACCATGGAAAACCCGGAAACACTGGATGGCCGTTTCGTCCTACTACGGGACTCCTCAGCAGTGCACATCCACGATCCCGCACTCGCGAGATTCCAATCCAGGACCTACCAGTCTCGAGCCAGAGCCCTTAACCTCTAGACCACTAAGCTTGCCGGCATCCAACGGTGTTAATGTCTAACTTCAACTGATCCATGATTATTATTTGTAAAAATGGAATTAGAGACTCGTGCTTCATTCTATTTGAGGTTCATCGGGTCAACATACCTACATCTCACTAAGCAAAGATGAATGGTGGCTAATAGTGAAATCCAGGACGCGCGTTTCGTTCTATTCGGGACTTGTCAGCTGGATGTACCAACATCACACAGTTAATGTTTGTTCTGAGACTCAAACCCAGTATCGTTTGTTTCAAATGCCATCGCATTATGTTCTTAGCTATTGAATCCTAGAGTGAAAAACAACACTTAGATGCAGGTACATTCAGCTGACGAGTCCCAGATAGGACGAAACGCGCGTCCTGGATTCCACTGCTAGCCACTATCTATATTTGCTTATAAAGCATGCAATCTAAGGCAATCTTGAGGCAGTCCGCACATATACCAACAAAAGACTGATCATTTGCAGTCCTAAATAACAATCAGAAGACACAAGTAAACAACACTACATCTCATTATTCATATTCACTCTGGAACTCGAAGTCAGTACTTATCGTTTCAAGCATTACTGAGTTCAGTAAAAATTATATCATCACGACAGTTAATGACTTATTGAACAACTATTATATTTATTATTATTATTATCCTTAAGGACTTTAGTTTCTCCATTTTTTGTATTTAGAAACTATAAGAATTCAGTTACAATGATAAGACAGGTATTATACAATCAAATACAGATATCGAATATTTCTGATTGAAAAATGTTTGAGATGGTGGAGAAGGTTTGTAGCTCAGGTGAGTGATTCTGATGGAGTTTTGTTCTCTGAGCTGAATGGTTTGGTCGTAGAGCTTTCATTATCTTCTGAACGATATCATCAGCACAAAGTTCCGGTAGAAATGAAGTGTTTGAATTTCTTCACATGTGATTCAAACACTTCACTTCCATCCAAAGTTTGTGCTAATGATGTCGTTCAGAAGGATAATGAAAGCTCTACGACCAAACCATCCAGCTCAGAGAACAAAACTCCATCAAAATTAAAAAAAATTGAATAACCATAATTTCATAACATAAATTCGGATTATTATATTTAAAAATAAAATTGACCAGTGTTATATCTTAATGGGTAAATAAATGTTATTTATCTACTACAAATTCAAGTGGCAAGTTATTAATTAAGGATACTCATGTGATATCGAATCGTTTCATCAATTTGGCAAGTGTCAATGATATATTTCATGGTATGGACGTAGGTGCTTCTAGTAGCTTGTTATTTCCCCGGTTTGATGGTTTAATTCTAAACCTGTTTATTGTAATCATCAGTACAGTGGTGTGGGTTACTGATATCAACATAAGTAGTATATGGTGATGGTCGGGCATTGTATGTATTTCAGTAAAAGATCGATAAGGAGAGAACAGGAACGACACGCAATTGGTACGGACTAGCATGACCAATTATAATCGGAGACTATGGCCGGATATTTGCAGAAAAAACAGTCAAATTGAGACTGGTGATTGTCATTCTGCAAGTTAACCGTTCACTATATATGATTCTCATATTTTAATGAGATATTCTGTAATGTTGTGCTATAATACATTCTATGGTCCGCACCCGTGTTCTTGTTTATTACAGTACTAAATCTCGATAGAAGACTGCCAAACACAGTGAATATGAATTAAAACCAGAAGTTGAATCCTATGACTGAGTTAACACAGTATCGATTAGGTAATTTACATATTAATGAGTTAAATTTAGCTAACCTTCTTTCTCAAATATAACCCTTATTAACAAAGAAGAATTCAGTCTACCTATATAGGTCGTTCTACAAAGTCAAATTATTGAAATCTAGAAACAAGCTAAAACTAATAAATCATAGAAACATTAAGTGGAGTTCATAAAGTATAAGTGTATATTCAATACCCTTTTTATTACCTTGCTTGACGTTGTTTCTCTAATAAGGCTTCATTTGTCACTTCAATTTGTCTTACTTCATCAGTTAAACCATATTGAACAGAATCACGACATAATTCAACACCTGGTCGATAGGTTCGTCTTTCAAGTCTTGTTTGTGCAAGTTTTCCCATTGGTATTAGACCTTGAATAGCTTTTTCAAGTTGATCTAAATCGTTTTCCATTTCAGACATTTCGTCTTCAATCTTTAAATGATATAAATAGAATTGTGAATAAAAGAGAACTAATTTTATGCTTAATGTATATTCATACCACTAAGGACAATCAATCTACCAGCCATGTGTTTACTTATTTAATCAGTCAAATTCAATATGTACATGTGTACATTGATCCAATTTGCCATACTTCATTAAAACATTAAGGTCGAATTATCAGAGCGAATCCCGGATAGTAGAGGTAATAACAGTATTAGTGGTAATTGAAAAGACTAGGTTTCGAATATATGACCTAAGGAAATGGAAATTAGGAACTGAAATGACCAGAAAGAGAATAACTATCTTATGTCCAACAAGTAAAAATCTGATGATGAGAGGCGTCCAAGATTTAATATTAGTACATGAAGTGCTATATGCTAACCCCCCCCACATAATTACTTGAGCGAGAACATAAGAGTGAAAAAGAAAATATTTAAGGTTCAACATATGGAGAACGTATGAAAACTATTCTTTATACCTTTTTCTTAAAAACGGTTAAAATGAAGCAAAAAACAAGTTAACAGGAAAGTCTCTCAGCAAATAACGAGTTGCAGTTGCTGAAGGTATAAGGCTTGAAAAGTCTGTGTATTCTAAAATAGTTTAAGCTAATTCTAAAACTACATGACCTTTTAAATCAAAACATTGAAAATGACAAGTGTGTAGTAAAATTAAAACTCTACATTTACAAGAAGATAAAGAATGAATACGTCTGTGTCTCAGTGACTAATTATCAACAACCACTTAGACCCTCCAAACGAAGTCTACGATTATCACTCAAACTTCAACTATAATGCTGATGAACGGATTCGCTTTGACAGTCAAGTGCTTTATGAACTCATGTTATATTTCCAGCTTGTCATTCATACATTTATCATAATATTCTGATATTCTAGATAGTATAATTCATCTTAGATGAATGACAACCGATTCAGTATATTTATCAATGAAATGCGACCTCAGAGACCGTTGAGAGAAATGTAACAATGTAAAGGATCTACTTAAATGTGTTTTGTGTGCTAGGAAACCTGCATTTACCAAGTTTCATAGAGAGTGCTAATTCTTTTATTGCTCAATCATCATTTTATAATAGTTTAGACATCCAATAGAACGTTCATAAAAGTTAAATTTCTGTTAATATAAGAAAGGATCTATTATGTAGTTAAGGTTAAATGAATTTCTATAGTTTGGTAACAAACTATAGTTTCATTTACTGAACTCTATATGGATCATCTTAAAACGCAAAGGCTAATGATACCGTCTTAAAATGCAATCAAGCTGTTAATTGTTGACTGTTTAAAACGTAGTGGTTCTCGAACAATGTTTTGGTGATCCAATAAAAATATCAGTTTTTACCTGTTTTTTTTGCCATTTTAATTCATCGAGCGCTTGTTCAAAATCATGTTTTCGTTGTCTTAGTGCAAATTCTGTTGCTTGCGCTTGAGCCTCTAAGTCATTCGATACTTGGCATAATGTTAGGTATATCGCTTCACGTAATCGTTGTCCTGAGCGAATTTCCGCCTGAGCTCTCTTCCAGTTGTATCTTGTGAATTCTTCCCATTGTTGTGGTGTAGTTGTCCTTTATGTGAAATGTATATTAAAAATAACGTCATACGGTAATATAACTTTTAAGTATTATTCGACGCTTATGTTAAACAAGGTCCATCTAAAGAAAGATTTAAATTTAAATGACTAATATTAAAACACAGAGCTTTAACAATAAGGATTTCTCTAATCTCCTCACTTTATATACTGACCAAATAGAAAAGCGACTCGAGCACAGTAATCAAGAGGCAAGAAATAAAGATGTAAAACATTAAATTATAAATTTTAAAGAAAAGGAACTAGTCATTTTGTAATGAGTGGGTGTGAGTTATCAAATTATGTTGGGTAGGATGCTCTACGGATTCGTTTAAGTGTTTGTCAGGTTTTCATTTTCGTGTTTGTGCTAATATCGTGTGATGATCTGAACTAATGCACACCAGTCCCAGCCCCTAAGCTGATAATGACTGGCTGATATTTGTGCCTACAAATGACCGTAACAAGTCATTTGTGCATTAAGATATGCAATAAAATATCCCAAAAAATAGTGAGCAAGACCTGAAAATCAAGCAAGGACGTTACAATATGTGTAATCGGCACACAAATTTGGATAGAAAATAGATTCACATTGCACACAGTTACAAGTTAAACAGAGGTTTTCTAATACGCGGCATGTTTTAGGTTGCAGACATACTTGTCTAACAATGCTCAATGATTTTTGAGTCATTATCGCGCCAGGAATGTCTCTATATATCTGCCATACTATTTGCTTCTGTTCAGATACCTTTCGTAAGGAGTGCATGAAATAATAGGTGCAGTACACAAAATGAGGTTTAGAGCACTTTTGAGACAAATATAACATACCTTAGAATAGAATCGCAAAACATGCACTCGCATCACAGAAACTGCCTCAAATTATCTCCGTGAGATTGCTTATTACCTAGTACAGTTAGTATATATAAAGCATGTTACCGTTATATATTGCAAAAATTTAGATAAACTTCATTAAACTATTCCCAAAAAATATCAAATACTATAACTCTGTTGGAGCACACTTAGGTTTTTCGGTATGAACTTTATAAAATGGACGCCTCATCAATAAGTGACTCATTTTGGCAATTTATTTTAACTATAAATTTGTTTATGAATATATAATCTCTTGATTATTTACTTCATTCTGCATGTTCCATGCTTAATTAGAAAGAAAGAGTCCAGATATAAGGTTTGTGTAAAATAACTATTGCTTTTTAACTTGCAACCCTCTTTGCCTTAAGCACACTATAATGCATATGCCTTTGTCTTTCACTTTACAGTCTTTGTGTGCTGGCCTACTTGTTAATATTACAGCGCATTTTGAACTGAGATAAGCACTACTAGTTTGTATAAAACATTCAATCCTACTACCTCTATTTATCATATCAAGCACCTTAATTAGTGTTTGGACAATTGACAAGTCACAATGAAATAAACCGATGTGTTTTAAAAGCTTACTAACGGAAATATGAGCCTACAGTTACCCTTTTGGAATCCGCGTTGGGTTGGGCTTGAAAGAAACTCCTGGACAATTAGGTCTCAGTTTGTACTGTTCAATGTCGATGTCCATGGCAGCATGCTTATCCTGTAGATCAAGTAATACTTGCTGCCTAGCCTCTTTAAGAAGAATCATTCGTTCAAATGCCTCATCCACTTTCTGCTGAAGTTTTTTATTGGATTTATCAATCACCTCTTTTTCCTATAACTAATATGAGCACAAAACATCGAACTAACTTTCTTTAACTGAACTTCTGGTGCGTCCTCAACGTTGTCTATTCTTTTGCGTTTGTCCCTGAGTGTGAGACACTCTGTAACGCATTCTTTGGGTGTTATTATATTTCTCATTTGTTTTTCAACTGCTTCTTTCCCTAAATTGACCATCGATATTTCCGCATCCAATTGTGAGTGAGCTAATTCCAAAATATCTTTCAAGTCTTTTATGGCATTGATTCTGTCTGCAAGTCTTGTTGTGTTGTTAAATTCATCCCATTTAGACTTAAGAGCAGCTGCTAGGCGTAAAGAACGTGTTTCTTGTCTGATTTGCTCTGATGCCTCTCGCTGACGTTGAGAATTGGCACTTAATGCGAAAGAGTTTGTAAACCAGTCAGGAGGTTGATATTTTATTCCCGGTTTAGCTAATGTCGACATTTAAGACAAATCAAATATTCGGGACTCTTTACTATAACAACACTGGCTAAAACAAACTATGTACTAATGAAGCCATAATCAGTAAATAAAAGTATGGGTTCAAAACTGTTCATAATGGTATGTGCAGATTTCTAAATTTCATAATGTCAATAATTATTATACGGTTTAACACGTATTAACTCCGCCTGTAGCTCCTCCAGGGGCTACTGCCGGTCCCAAGCCCGGGTAAAGGAGGAGGGTTGGGCATGGGGTTAGCGACCCCATCCCGTAGAAAATCAACTCGCTAAAAAAACGCTAACCAGAAAAATTCATTCAAGCCATTCAAACTCTGCCCTGGGAGTAGAAGGAAAAATGACGTCTCATGATGAAAGCCGAGTTCCTTCGGAAGTCATGAGGCCGATGCACCTTCTTACAACCAGAGCGACAATTTTTTTACGACACTACGGTGTGCCTGAGAAGATAGTAAATATCATACGGAACTCCTATGAAGGACTAAACTGCCAAATCGTCCACGGAGGACAACTCACCGACTCGTTCGAGGTAAAGACCGGTGTTAGGCAAGGTTGCCTACTCTCACCCTTTCTCTTTCTCCTGGTCATCGACTGGATTATGAAGACGTCAACATCTGGAGGAATGCACGGGATACAGTGGACAGGCAGGATGCAGCTTGACGATTTAGACTTCGCGGATGATCTGGCTCTTCTATCACAAACGCAACAACAAATGCAGGAGAAAACGACCAGTGTAGCAGCAGCCTCAGCAGCAGTAGGTCTCAATATAAACAAAGGGAAAAGCAAGACTCTCCGATACAATACAACATGCACCAATCCAATTACACTTGACGGAGAAGCTTTGGAGGATGTGGAAATCTTTACATATCTGGGCAGCATCATTGATGAACACGGTGGATCAGATGCAGATGTGAGGGCGAGGATCGGCAAAGCAAGAGCAGCATACCTACAGCTGAAAAACATCTGGAGCTCAAAACAATTGTCAACCAACACCAAGGTTAGAATTTTCAATACAAATGTCAAGACAGTTCTACTGTATGGGGCAGAGACGTGGAGAACTACGAAAGCCATTATCCAGAAGATACAAGTGTTTATTAACAGCTGTCTACACAAGATACTTCGGATCCGATGGCCAGACACTATCAGCAACAAGTTACTGTGGGAGACAACAAACCAGATTCCAGCGGAGGAAGAAATCAGGAAGAAGCGCTGGAAGTGGATTGGGCACACTTTGAGGAAATCACCCAATTGTGTCACAAGACAAGCCCTCACATGGAATCCTGAAGGTCGAAGGAGAAGAGGAAGACCAAAGAACACATTACGCCGAGAAATAGAGACAGACATGAGAAGAATGAACAAGAACTGGAAAGAACTAGAAAAGAAGGCCCAGGACAGAGTGGGTTGGAGAAAGCTGGTCGGCGGCCTATGCTCCATTGGGAGTAACAGGCGAAAGTAAGTAAGTAAGTAAGTTAACACGTATTGTTATTCTATGTTACACTAGTAACAGTATTGTCATAGTCAGGAGTTCAATTTTTTTTGGATTTCCAGGCTGATCTACGTATACTAAAGATAATACTAGGACCTGTATTTACTGCTTTTCAGCAATAAATCAAAGCGAGCTTGTTCAGTTCGAAGACGTTACTGATAAAAAGCATTTGATAACGCTGTTGCCCATGATGTCTTTTAACAGTTAAGCCAAAAACATTTGGAAGGTAACCAATGTGTCTAGAAGTTGACTGATTGTCATGATGGATTGGCAGTATGGTATATTAAGAGAAGATGCATGACTGAGAAAATTCATCATAAATCTAATTAGGTCAGAATTATTGATTAGTTTTGTCTGTCTTTTGGATTTGTTTGCAGCCACAATTTAAAGACAGCCTATTATCGGTAACTTTTAATTTTCTCTAAGTGGACATCCGAATGATGGATTCAGTATCAAAAATGGGTATAATTTTAAAGTTTCTATGATCCCACTTGTGGAATAAGATGTAATTACTGGGGTAAGAATATTTAATACATTTTCAACCGAGAGGTAAGTATTGATGCTGCAAACAAAGGATGGGAGTGATTGCATCTAACGGACAGATTGTGGAAGATTATTCCAGAGTCTGAGAAATTTACTGATAGAATAATTCATATATAAAGATGACTTAAAGTAAGTTTGTTACACTTAAGACAAGGAGTTATGGATGCTGTCTCTAGGAGTTTCTCCATGTTGAGTTACTTCACTGGATGCAAAGGATAGCCTATTAAATAATTTGAAGAAGAAGATTGGATTTAGTTTGAGTCTCCTCTTCTATAAATAGTCCAGTCCAGGTTTATTACATCTCTTGTCATAATTCAAAGTATAGTCTGTCCCGAGAATGCAAATTTTAGATCGTCTCTAGACGGATTCCAATATCAGTTTGTCTTTTAGAGGTTTATAGAGGTTAAAGAGGTTTCGAATCATGCAGCCCATAAGACTTTGGGACTTAGAGGTCTGTTTCGAGACCTGTCCTTTGAAGGACAATTTGTAGGAGTACTTGAGTCCACTACTGCATGTAACTTAGACAACTCCTCAGCATGTATGGCAAGTTCTAGGTTGAGTGATGTGTTACGGAAGCACATCATTCTATATTTAGCTGTGCGAAGATCCAACTTCACTTTCAGAAATACTGGGTTACCTTGTCAAGCCCCATACTGATACAATTCTGCATGGTGTTCAGTTTATGAGGAGAAAATGACTACACTACTTTAAGGTCTTCTTCATGGAGAAGAAATTTTCACATATAAAAGCAATAGCGACTTTCATTGATATAAACTTGAAGGAACTAAGGAACGTAGACACATAGACACCTTAGAGTGGGGAAGCATCCATCAAGAAGAAATCGGTTTTTACCAGTTGGTGGTAGTGACGGGGAAAAGAATTAAAACAAGCAAACAGAGAATTTTTGGCTTCGTGAGATGTCAGTTCACCCATCAAAAGCCAAAGGTTAACCATGTTGAAAGATTTAAAATTACTAAAGTGTAGTGCTAGGACAACATATCCTCGTTTAGGTTGAGTAAAAACTAAACTGTGAAATCCAAAGTAGCAAGTCATACGTAATCCATTTTTAAAGAAGCCTCTTTGAGAATCATTGTCAAGTCTTTTAGTGAGCAAATAATTTTTCATAATCAGAGAGATTACTGGAGTGAGATTTATGGGCTGATGGTTGTGATATATGTTGTTTCCTAACAGTCGTGGTAAGTGCCTGTCTCCAAGGTGAGAGCGGAAACAACTTCAGAAGGAATGACGGGATACCAAATCCAGCATAGTTGTAGAGAACGGATGATTTCCTCTGTAGTCTATGACCGCTTGAAACCGTAAAGTAGTTAACATATTTACAATTTTTCGTAAGTGGAAGAAATAGATTCGATTATATCGCTAGTCACACCATACTTTTAAAACGTCCGTCCTTCATCCATCACAAAATGTTTTAGTGGTATGCAGTGACTTATGACTCTCAAAATGCTATAATGCAAACTGTTCCATACTATTGATGTCTTTTCTATTCGTTTGGTTAACTTCGTTAAACCACGACTTTGTTAATGGACCCCAAATGCGTCGAAGAAAGTTGAACTTAATGTTTCTTGGCATGTGATGACACATTTTTATAGCGACTGATATAGCAATTCGTTGTATATGACTCTGTCTAAATAGTATAAAGGCGGCGAACCTTAACCCTCAACGTCTGGTAATTTGGAAATTTAAAAATATCTCCTGAATGATTTATCTGAACGTAAAAACAGTTAAAAATTGTTAGGTTTAATATTTATGTTCATAAAAACATGGTTGTTTGGGATCAGCAGAAAACGAAGTAATTGATCCTTTCTCCAAGGAAATCGTGAACACTAGCCATAAAATTATTATCCAGGATATACGTATGATAGTTTGAAGTACCTGAATTATATTACAAATTAGGAATCCCAGAAATAACGCAATGTAATCAAGAGGTAATAGGTGAGCACGAACGAATGTATTGTATTCAGAATTCGAAATCAAGCAGCCATCAGGTACAAAGGAATTATTAGCCCATAAAAACACCACCATATGTCACTTCCGTGCATTTCATACAACAGGCAGCACATTCACATATCTATGTATGTATATTCGATCAAGATAAAGGGTCTGAAAGATAGGTGGATGTGCAAGTATTTATCTCCTGGAGTTAGACGCAAATGGTGTGACAGAATGTACATAAACTTACGCTGAATTCAAACCTTACTTTATATAGAGATTTCGACTCAATCTTATTTGAGTAACGAGCCACCCTGTCTATGTGACACAATTAGCGAGCAAATAAATGTATGCCAGAATTACATCGTTAATTAAATGAAACAGATCACAGAAGTACAAAATATTGGCACACTACTGTTTGAGTCCATTCACGTTGATGATTTCAATAATGCGTGTCAGTAATTTACGACATGGGAAATATTTCACAAACAGTCCCACGTAGAAAGATCAGTCCTCAAACATAGAAAAAACTGGCTTGATTAATGTTTCTACCAAATCTCAATGATATTTCAATGGCCAGGACTGGAAGCATATACAGAAGAACAGCTACGACATAGTGCTTATGGGGTAGTAAGATGTAATCGGAAGCTCTTCCCTAAACTATATTTACTTAAAGCAGACTTTGACAAATATCTCTATTAGCGATTGTGGAGTAGTTTTACGATTTAGTGTAATGTGAATTCTGAGTTTCGAGCAAGCGAGTGATGGGTAGAATGTATTGATAATGCTTAGAGAACTCTAAGTAATGCATGTCTTAACCGGTTTCTCTAAAGATGAAAATTCTAGAAACTTAAGATGCGATGAGGTTGATTTTTTCATCAGTTTGAACCTCCAACATTTCTGTTAATTTGTTTTAGTCCTAGTAGTTATGAGATTAATAAAGTGGTCCACTGGTTTCCACTTTTAGTCACTATGTAGTATCAGGTAACAACAAAAGACTAAATAACACCATCTATAACATCCCGACAGGAATTACATATGTCGATAGAAAATGACCATAATTTAATCATTTATGTCAACATAAGGAAGACTCAAAAAATTATAAACAAATATAATCTACATAAGCTTAATTTTGTCACGAACGAAAACTATTTGATCGACTTTGTACTTAATAGTTCTAGAAAAGCTCACTAAATATTTTTCGAAAATTCTTCGTTTCAACCACAATAAAACTAAACAACATGAATAACTCTGACCTAATATGTGGTATGCGTGAAACTGAAAGAAGTTAGATTTTATATCCGAATCCATTGTTATCGTTTACTCATCGATTCGTAGGAGCTAAGACGTACTGTTACCATGAGCATTTCATGTTACCAGTGCTATAAATAGGACCTTGAATTGCATTCAAATAACCATTTCATGATGCGTAATGAACAACACAGCGCTGGTATGGTGTTTACAATCTTAAAATATCTCTGACCTGCTCAATCACATTTTACGTTTAAACTCAGTCTATTCGATTCCAGATTTAGTAATAATCTAAACTAAACACTGGAGTGTTCAACACTCGAGGTCTGGATGTATTAAGATCTGACCATCTTAAATGATTCTACGATACCAAAAATACGTGTAGACAACGTTTTGCAAATTTATAACTTACTATTTCTTGTTATAATACATTAATATATTCGAAACTGACATTTTTGTTGAGAATAAAGACTGGAATATTTTAATCCATGAAGCTTATTGACAAAACTAATAGATGATGAAAGTTTTCCGGTATTTCATTTATTAAAACGAGGAGATTCCTTCAGTTGTTCAGAGAATTTCTTATGTCATAAAAAATCATTATGTCTTTCGTCTAGCGAATTGTTACATCCCGAGACGATTTACGAATGGTAACTTTTGAGAACTATTTATGGATCAATATGGTGCGTATATTTCCTATTGTATAATTCTTAAGTAACTAAACTATTCATATTCGTGTCCCTCTTATTATAAGGTTTATTTTGACCTATTAACTATTATTATACCATTTACATTCTTGAATAATGCTGTGTCCATTAATTACTGTTTCCCCCTATTCACATCCACAATTAGATGAATCTTGTACCAATGCTATTTTCTATTTTATTGCAGGATGTGGTCAGTTAGATTGGTATACAAACCCAGTAAATTTGAGAATAATGATTCATATTGCAGAGGCTGTTATTGGTGTTCTGGACTTAACTGGCTGGGCTAGGCAGATGGCAGGACTAATAGGTACTCAAGACTGCTCATACGGTTTTCGTGTATTATTGCTCTGATCGATAATTCACTGCTCTCCAATTGACGGTTATATCACTCATATATCAAGCAAGGAACTTACGCACTCAATGGATATAACAACTGGGCATGCATATACGCAGGCAATCTATATAACACAAATGAAAGCTATTTCTTACAGACCAACTTCATAGGTATCAATAAAAAGTTTGAACTTGATAGTTTCAATTAATGGAATATTGAATAGAGAGTTAATAATAAATATATTTTTATTATAACTCAATGAGTAGAAAAGTTGTATTTTTCACATTTTGCTGTGAAGAAGCGGCTTACATTAAGTCACGAAACGTCGGAAATAGAGCTTTCTTTACATTTTTGACATGTAACAGAAAGTACATTTATTATTAAGTCATTCTAGTTCACTAAAGATATACAGACTACATTGTAAGTAAAGATAGATAGTAGCTAGAAGTGGAATCCAGTTTGACGCGCGTTTCGTCCTATTTGGAACTCGTCAGCTGGATGTACCTGCATCTCAAAACTGATGTTCACTCTGGGAATCGAACCCAGTACCAGTCCTAAACACCAATGAGAAGATTGAAACAAACAATACTAAATGAGTTTACAGATTACATTGTTATGATCCACATGAAGTTCATAATCGGTAGCTGATGATTTTGCATAACATCACTCAGAATTGTTCTCAATGAAACATACTTTCATTCTTTATCCTCTCTTAGATTTAAAACTCTTGAAATCTTCACATACATTTTCCCCCTTTTTATTGCTAATATTTTTTTCTACTACTGATATAGTTACTGTCTTCCCTTAAGATTCATTCGTATGCTTTTTTTCGCTCTTTTAATAAAGTATGAATACTTGAACCAATATATTAATGTAACACTCTATACATTTTATATGACTGACTGATTAAAATAAGTAATTATTATGGTGTTCAATATTCCTACATCAAAAAATTGTACACATTTCGAATAGTGTAATAAATTTTTTATTAACTCAATTCCTTTCTTATTATTTTATCCAAGTTTTGAGAAGAAGAAGAAGAAGAAGAAGAAGAAGAAGAAGAATGAGACAAACATAAGAAGAATAAATAACAAATAGATAAAATTAGAAAAGAAGCCTTAAGATAAAGTGGGTTGGAGACTTCTGGTAGGTGACCTATGCTCCACTGATTGGGAGGAGGGAGGAAACAGGCGTCAGTAAGTAAGTAAGTAAGTAAGTAAGTAAGTAAGTTAATTTTTTTAGTGAAAATCTAATTTATGATACATAAACAAACAAAATCTGATAATAAAAATTAAATAAATACACATGAAGATACATAGATGATTCTAGAAAATTAAATATAAAATATTCTCAAATTATATTATATGTATATATATGTGTATATATGGGATCATTTATTCACTTGAGTTAAATACTACTATTATTGAAAGAGTAGTATAAACATGATATATTACGCTGAAAAATAGAGAGAGACATGAGAAGAATAAAGAAAAATTGGATAGAACTAAAAATGAGTGCACAGGACTAAGTGGATTGGAGAATGCTGGTTGGTGGCCTATGCTTCATTGGAAGTAACAGGCGTAATTAAGTAATAACCATGATATTGACACAACGATTATTACTACTATTATTACTAATAATATTAAGAGTAATAGTAACAGTAATAGTAATAATAATAATAATAGTAATAATATTAGTAATAACAATAATAGTAGTAATAGTAACAGTAATAATAATAATAATAATAATAATAGTAACAGTAATAATAATAATAATCGTAATTGACAAGCAGAAAATAATAAATAAAAACTTATTTGAGGAAAAAAAATTTAAAAAAATTTTTTTTATTGATTTCTATTTGATTCTCATTGTTTAATAAATGAATATGGAAAAAAATTAAGGGAGTAAAAGATAACCCAATAAAATGAATATAATTCACTTACTTTGTTTTTATTATCTTTGTATATATATGTAAAGATTGTACTGCAATTTATTGATTTATTTTATTCTTACTAATATGATTATAATAAAAATGGTAAACAAAAAAGAAAAAAAAATAAAGAAAAAAAGAAAAATAATAAATAAATGGAATAATCATTCATTTAATCTGAACTCGTTTATACACTGGATACATCAAATGATATTCAATAAAAGAGATAAATAGTTGAAATCATAAGTCAATTGAAGCTAGACCACCATGGAAAACCTGGAAGAATTGGACGGCCGTTTCGTCCTATAGTGGGACTCCTCAGCGGTGCGCATCCAAGATACTGCCTTGTTAGATTAAAAGTCAGAACCTATCAGTCTCGCTTGCGAGCGAACTCTTAACCTTTAGGCCACTAAGCTGGTCGGCATCCAATGATGTTATTGTCTAACTTCAACCAATCCACAAAATTGAGCGGCATATCCACCATTGTATTCAGTGGGTTACTATCTTACAATAGACCTGGTTGAACACCATTGATCACTACTTCTCATTAGAACTCCAGGAAATACCTCATGGAGCCAGTCACTAGTGAGCATATGATCATTATCAGAAGGGAGTTGATAGAAAAAAAATATACTGAATTAATATTATGATACCTAATTTATTACTTTTTTAAATTCAGATAGAGAATTTTGTTTAGTGAAATCCAGGAAGCACGTAGCGTACTATTTAGGACTCGTTAGCTGTATGTACATTCATTATATAGTTGATGTTGATTTCTAAGTAGTATATCAGTAATAAATGATATTTGAATATCTGATTTTTTGTGCTAAGGAAATATATTTTAAGGATTACAATTCTACCCGATTGTCAAATGTACTGCCATAGGTATTAAAACATCATTAGATCACTTAATAAGTATCTTTGTAGCTTACATCTCACCATTCAATCCAATTTTCATACACTGCAACCATATTGAAGAAGAACTAAAGATGATTAGCTATCTTTCAATAAGCAAAGATCACTTTAGTTTTTGCAATATTATGTCAAACAATTAGTAAATTCTGAAGGGGGGTTTTGCAGAGATTTTAATAATTCTATATAGTTGAGATCATGAATCAATTGAAGTCGTCCAGTGCTTCCAGGTTTTTCATGGTGGTCTAACTTCAATTGATTCATGATCTCAACTATATAAAATTAGTAAATTCATTAATAATCTATTCTTGATGTGTCAGAATTTCTTTTATAGGGTTAACTGTTTCGTCTATATGTATTTTCACCTTACTAGACAAATAAAATAACATTTGGATTGTACCGATACTACTAGTGTAGTGAACATAGACACCGGTTGGGGAAAAACGAATGTATTGAAGCACAACATTACAGACTATCTCACTAAATTCTGATGACCATACAGTAAACAGTTAATTTGCAAAATAACAATCAATTGTCTAAATCTTCACTGTTCCTTCTGCAAATATCAGTCTGTCTTCTCTGATTATTATTGTTCATGCATTTTCGTACCGATTGCACTTCATTCCTGTTCTTTCCTTATCGGTCTTCTTTCAAAATACATTATATGTGTGACCATCACCATACACTACTTATATGGATATAACTAAACCACACTACACTAGCCCTACCTTAATATGAGTAGTTCACAACTTGGAAAATTTATTTACAGTATTATGCAATAACATATAATAGAAAACCAAATAAGTATTCCTTTAAAAACAAGGTAAATATAAGCAAGCATCTTCAGAAGTAAGGTGAATAGACAGTAGATGTACAATAACAAAGGATTTACTTAGTGAATGAAGCACATTTCATGCAGAAAGAACCAATGCTAATAGGTGATGGGAATTATTTTTTATTTTATTTATTCATCTATTTTTCATATTAGCAAATAACTAATTACATGAATAGCATACATAAGTGTTATGACGTATAAAACTCGTAATATATATGAACGTGCAATTGGAGAGGTAGTGGATTTATTGATCGGAAGCAAATGATACTTGAAATTGTACGAGCAGTCTTGATTGCGTATCGGCCCTGCTATCTTCCTAGCCCAGCCACTTAAGTCCAGAACACAAATAACAGCCTCGGCAATATGAATCATTATTTACAAACACACTGGGTTTTTATACAAACCAAAGTAATCAATAAACTGATTATAACTCAAGAATCGTATGATAATAAATCAAAGATCAAAATAAAGCTAATGATAAGAGAAATACGAATATGAATCGTTTAGTTACGTAACAATTGTACAATAGGAAATAGGCATAATACATTGGTCGATAAATAGACCTTAGAGTTACCATTCATAATTCACCAGGGGATATAACAATAAGTATAAAGTAGTACTATAGAGATTGACTAAATATATATTGCCTACTACACAAGTCAATTGGTTATTAGAAGAAAACATGATTTAAGTATTCTTTTCACCTGGAGGGAACTTTCTAACGGTAAGATCAAGGTATTTATAAATCACTGAGTTATAAAATGGATAAGTCTTCTAACTGAACGCTAGATTCGGTTTTTAAGCTCTTCTAGTAACCCTCAGGCTAGATCTACACAGCAACTTGAAAATAAGAGAGAAGGCGGGGAATACGAAAAAACGGTTGACTGTAAATGTTCGTTTATGTACAGAAAATCTTGGGTTTCATGAAAATTCTGGAATGCTACTAAACATAGTAGCAGTATAAGTAATTATCTAATCAGAAACCCGAAATGTGACTTTTCGATTTCTAGGTGTTTCTGGTAAAACCCCTAGTGAATGCTGATTGAATAAGATGCTTCTCAGTGTTTTCAGAGCTTTTATTGCCTTTTTTCGAGAAGTTTTATGGATCTCTCTAACAAAACCTAAAAGTTCTTGAATTCATTTGACTTTTATAGTTAATTCGTATCGTAAGTTTTACGTTATACATTAAGATTTGAAACTGAAAGTGATGTTTTTGAAGCACAATTTCCCTTACAATTTCACATACACATTACTTAAGTAGACTAAGCAATATGGAGTCAGGGTTTAGGATTTCCTATTCTAAAATTTCAATTATGTAGCATCAATATATAGTACAAACAATGTCTAGTCACTCAAACCAATTGCTACATTTTATATAGTTGAGTTCATAAGTCAATTAAAGCTAGACCACCATGGAAAACCTGGAAGCACTGGACGGCTGTTTCGACCCCCTTCTGACAATTACTACATTGTCAACTGGTTGTTAAAATTGAATCAATACTAAAGAACTAAACAGGTATGGTATTTGTCACTACATAGAGATCACTCAAGAATAAGATGACATTCTGATGTATATGACTTTGAAAGGTTTATAAACTTCATAATACTTAGTATACTATGGATACTTATAGATACTTTGCCTAACTCGGCCTAACACTTTGATATAAAATATATATCACAGTGTTTTTCTAAACATTTCTCCTGTATTACAATGAATATACACTTCATTTCATAGATATTTAAGATAGATGGTATCAGCATTCAATAAGACGGATCAACATACAGAGGTCGAATTAGTTATTCCACTTTTAACTAGTCATAAACTAGTCATTTTATATCAAAGATTCTCCTATGTACAAACAATAAATCTGGTCTCATTAGAAATTAATAACATTCAAATGTCACATCTTGAATGCGCACTGCTGAGGAGTCCCACAATAGGACGAAACGGCTGTCCAGTGTTTCTAGGTTTTCTTTGGTGGTCTAGCTTCAATTGATTCATGATTTCAACTATGAAAACTTTCAAATGTATTTTTCTTTTTTTAATAAACAAACAAACAAGCAATTACCATTTTAAAAGAAAACAAGCATCATGCAATCATATCCTTTATTAAATATAACTATCACCAGAACAAAATAAGAATACGATTATTCCATGCTAAACTACTGAAAGCAACTTCTTGTATTAATTAATAGGGAAGTATTCAAATAATCACTACCTGAATGTTCCTGTTACATTCTCTTAACTTTGTTTGTACAACATCATATTCATTATATTTTGTAATATATTCTTTATCTAATTGAAAAAATAGATTGAATAGTTACTAAGATTAGTTTGCTTTTTTATAAGAACTTTCGTCTAAATTAGGACGAATTACGTACTTACCTGCCTACTTACGCATGTTACTCACAATGGAGCAAAGGCCACAGACCAGAATTCTCCAACACACTCTGTCCCGAGCCTTCATTTCTAGTTCTATCCAATTTTTGTTCATTCTTCTCATGTCTGTCTCCATCTGTAGGCGTAATGTGTTCTTTGGTCTTCCTCTTCTCCTTTGACCTTCAGAATCCTATGTAAATGCTTGTCTTGTAACGCAGTTGTCTGCTTTCCTCAATGTGTGTCCTATCCACTTCCAGCACTTCTTCCTGATTCCTTCCTCCGCTGGAATCTGGTTTGTTGTCTCCCACAGTGACTTGTTGCTGATAGCGTCTGGCCATCGGATCCGAAGTATCTTGCGTAGACAACTGTTAATAAACACTTGTATCTTCTGAATGATGGCTTTCCTAGTTTTTCAGATTTCCGCCCCATACAGAAGAACTGTATTGAAAATTCTAACCTTGGTGTTGGTTGACAATTGTTTTGAGTTCCAGATGTTCTTCAGTTGTAAATACGCTGCTCTTGCTTTGCCGACCCTTACCCTCACATCTGAATCAGTTCCGCTGTGTTCATCAATGGTGCTTCCAAGATAAGTAGATGTTTCCACATCCTCCAAAGCTTCTCCGTCAAGTGTAATTGGATTGGTGCATGTTGTATTGTATCGAAGAGTCTTGCTTTTCCCTTTGTTTATTTTGAGACCTACTGCTTCTGAGGCTACTGCTACACTGGTCGTCTTCTCCTGCATTTGTTGTTGCGTGCGTGATAGAAGAGCCAGATCATCTGCGAAGTCTGAATCGTCCAGCTGCATCAAACTGTCCATTGTATCCCGTTCTTCCTTCTAGATGTTGACGTCTTCACGATCCAGTCGATCACCAGGAGAAAGAGAAAGGGTGAGATTAAGCAACCATGCCTAACACCGGTATTTACCTGGAGTGAGACAGTGAGTTGTCCTGCATGGACGATTTGGCAGTTTAATTAATCATAGGAATTCTGTATGATATTGACTATTATCTCAGGCACGCCGTACTGTTGAATAAGCTTCCATAGTGTTTTCCTGTTCACGCTGTCAAAAATTAGAGCGAATAGTTTCATAGTATTTGGATGCTTTTCTTGAAAAAGTATCGACCAGATTGTCCAGGCGGAACGTTGGATTTACATCAAATTCATTCGCTGAGAAATTACAAATATATTCTTCCTATTTAATGTTTCATATCAACTCGGCGCTGAAATACTGTGAAACTATTCATTCTAATTTAGACGAAAGTTCTGCAATGGCATCAAATTATAGAAGAAAATGTACAACTGATATAACCACTGAATTTTCAATCTATGCTGTTTCAATCATCATGTTTATCCAAGAACGTTAAGAGTTAAGACTCCAGACAATTGACAACGTTCTGTAAAAGCAGCTGTCACATATTCAAGAGTATTTCTTAAGGAACGTATTCATAAACGTTCTAAGATATTTCCATGAAAACGCTTAGACCAGATTGCCAAGTGGCAAGTTGGATTTACTTCAAATATTACATAATCTTACCTTTCTAAATATTTAATAATTTTTTCATGACCAAATTGTTTAGCATCTGATAATGGTGTATGTCCCCAACGATCAATTGGATTCAATTTGACACCACCAACTTCAATGAAAAATTTTACAGCATCTAATGAACCAGTACTAGCAGCTACATGAAGACCAGTACGTCCATCATAATCAATTGCATTGAAATCTACTCCATGAATAAAACATCTGGAAAAAAGGTTTTAAAAAAAGGAAACATAATGGGTAGTAATTAGTTATTCCAAAAAATTTATTACCGTTCTATTATTCTGAGGCTGGACTAATAATCTTAACACGAATAGAGTAATTGAACAGTTTGAAGTGGTTTGATACTTTTAGTTTCAGAATTTGGAAATATGAATTAAGGAGGTTTCAATTAAATGGCCTAAAGGCTATGAACTTGTATGGAAACCTAAGGACTTTTAGTCTGGTCTTTACTATTATTATTATTAGCCTTATTCAATATTATATATTTGATATGATATAGAATTCTCAGAGCAAAGTATTTCAACAAGTTTCCGTTTCTTATTCCTTGGTCGATACTGACAGTAAATCGTGAGTGGTTCACAGTTAGATGTTAGTAGTTGAGGAATCGACATCTGAATAATGTACATTCTTTTCCATGCATACTATCAGAAATCATGATGTCTTTGATTTGGCTTTTCTGTGACGTGTACAGCGAAAAGTTGTAAACTTTTGATAAACGCACGTGAATAGGTTGTGCGACTAATAGACAATAATGATCTGTTGAAACAAACAAAAACAGATAACTTGTTGAAACATTCACATGTCATGAACAGGTAACCTGGATGTTCAAGGAGGTCGACAAAATACGGTCTCGTGACTAAATACTATTTAGGAATCAAGCAATTCCTTCGATATGTAATATTATGGTATTATAATCATAACATCAATCTAGGAAGAAAACCAATTTTAAAATATACATCAGTTAGACATAAATACTTTCGATGTTTAGTTATTAATATATAAGTGCGCATCCACGATACCGCCTCGTGAGATTCGAACTCAGAACCTATCAGTCTCGCACACGAGCGAGCTCTTAAACTCTAGACCACTGAGCCGGCATCCAGCGATGTTAATGTTTAACTTCAACCGATCCACGAAATTGAGCGACACATCCACCATTGTCTTCAGTGAGTTACTGTCTCACAACAGACCTGGTTGAATTTCACTGGTCACTGCCTCACGTTAGAACTCCAGGAAATACATCTTGAAGCTAGTTACTAGTGAGCATATGTTGAATAATGTCAAAAGGGTTTTTTTGGATATTATAGTAATTTTATTAGTTGAGATCATGAATCGATCGAGGTTAAGCGCTCGCGTGCGAAACTGATAGGTCCTGCATTCGAATCTCGCAAGGCGGTATCGTGTATGCGCACTACTGAGGAGTTCCACAATAGTATGAAACGGCCGTCCAATGCCTACACGTTTTCCGTGGCGGTCTAGCTTCAATTGATTCATGATCTCAACTATTAAATTACTATAATATCCGCAAAAATACTATTCCATCATACCTACTCACTTTTACTTCAATGTTCAGTACAAAAATTAACATTCACTTTGTGGTGAATACGTTTCTACATAAATTAATCTTAGTTAAAGCTGATTTCAAAGTAGTGAAGCTGTTCATCTTAAATGATTTCTGTCAATCAAATTGTATGTAGTATGATCAGTTTTCTATTAATAGTATAACCTATTTGGCACGTAAGATACTTTCAACTGATTGCCAAGAAATCTTAGATTTTATTGAAAAGAAAAACATACTTATAAAACCAATCAAATTTACCCCCAGCATGGATAACTTATAACATATTAAAGACTAAATAAACATTCAATAAACTAGGAATTCTTTTAAAGTTTCGATGACCCTTTTCATTGATGAACATGTTAGGACTAGAATAATGAATATGCATTTGAGTAGTTTTTAAAATGACGAAGTAAACATAAAGAAATTAAAATGTAAATAATAGTTTTATATGATTTATAAATTTTTTTATGAAAATTTAAGAGTTCTTAAGATTTATGGACCACCGAGGAGAACCTTGACTGCCGCTTTATTATATTGTGGTGTGGGCTACTTAGATCCACATAAGTAGTATATGGTCAGAGTCAGACATAGAATGTATTTTGGCAGAAGATCGATGAGGAAGGAACAGGAATGAAACGCAATCGGTACGAAAATGCATGAACAATGAAACCAAAGACGAACTGATATTTGCAGAAGGAACAGTCAAGAATGAGACAATTGATTGTTATTTTGTAAGTTCAGAAGGGGTTTTGTGGAGAATTTCGTATTTTCATAGTTGAAATCATCAGTCAATTGAAGATAGACCACCATCGAAAACCTGGAAGCACTGTTCGACGGCCGTATTGTCATATTGTGAGACTCCTCAGTAGTGCACATCCACGATCCCGTCTCGCGAGATTCCAATCCAGGACCTACCAGCCTCGCACCAGAGCACTTAACCGATAGACCACTGAGCCGGCATCCAACGGTGTTAATGTCTAACTCCAACCAATCTACGATTTTGAGCAACCATTCACCAATTGTCTTCAGTGAGTTGATATCTCCACAACAGATTTGGTAGAACTCCACTGGTCACTGCTTCCCACTAGAAGTTAACTGTTTACTGAGTGGTTATCAGAATTTAGTGACCTAGTCCGTAATTTTATGCTTAAATACACTTGATTGTCCCCAAATAGTGTACTCGTTCACTACAATACTACAGGACCCTCAACAGTACGCATCCACTATCATGCACGCGGGACTCGAACTCAGGACTTTCGGTCTCCCGCGCGAGCGCTCAACCTCTAGAGCTATCTACATAAGGATTCCTTATTTACGATAAAATGTAGTATCGAAACCTAACTCGAACCCTCTAACCCTCTAACGTTTCTCTTTTTGTTTACTATAATATAAATAATTCATTAATCATGTCAAAATTGTTTATCCATTTTTAATAGAAATACAAACACGGTATTCTGATTTGTTAAAAATGAGTTCAAGGTTGGCGGTGAAATTAAATTCTTCTGTAATTAAGTCTTGGCTCATTAATTTCACCCCAATAAATATAGATACATTATCATATATATTTCTGGCTTCAATAACTATCATATCCAGCTGTTATTATTTTTTTTAATGTCAAAGAAATTTTACCATAACTATAATGAACAAAGAAAAAAATGACAAAATTTGTTGAATATGCTGAGTTCATTCATTGCAATTCTGTTGCTTTTTCTTCGGTAACATACAGACTAGAATAGTTAATTACTTACAATTACTGAATTAATGTGGTCTATCTGTCATGTGCTCTGGCGCGAGACTGGTAGGTCCTGTGTTCGAATCTCACGAGTGCGGGATCGTGGATGCTCACTGCTGATGAGTCCTATAATAGGACGAAACGACCATCCAGTGCTTCCAGGTTTTCCATGGTGGTCTAGCTTCAATTGACTAGTGATTTCAACTATGAAAATACTAAATTCTCCACAAAACCCCTTCTGAAAAATAAATCGTCAATCAATAACGAATATTCACTTGGTAGTGTTTACTTGTATCTTCCGATTGTTGTGTAGTACTGCAGTTGATCAATCTCTTATTGGCATATATGCATCTTGTGCGGGTTGCCTTGATATTCCTATCAGTCACAAGCTTTATGAGCAACGATGAATGGTGGATAGCAGTGGTATTCAGGACGCGCGTTTCGTACAAATTTAGACTCGTCAGCTGAATGTACATGAATCACACAGTTAATTTTCATTCCTACACTCCAACCCAGTACCGTTCGCTTCAAACGCCATCGCGTTATTCACTCAGCTATTGAGTTCTGATAGCCATTTGCTTGTGCAATGGGGTGAAGTTTGAATTCACCTGGCATTGTTTGCTTGTATTTTTCCATTGTTGTTTAGGTCTACAATTGATTAGTCTCTTATTTTCATATGTCCATCATGTGAGGATTACTTTAATACTGCCTTAAGTATTAGTAATATTGAAAGTTTACATAAAAATGCTTCCTGTTTCCTTGATTTTAATTTACTTCAAATGTGAACTTTTAAAAAAATTATTTTCAATATTCTATTGTCAATTATCTACTGACCTTATATCCGTTTGATGCTTTGAAAAAAATTTGTTTAAATAACATAGGAATTATTCGTGTATCCATTTCTAAATTATCTACAAGGTCACTTGGAAAATGTAAATAAATCCTTTTTGGCAAGTTGACTGATTTTTTTTTAATACTCATGAAATAATAACTACATAATGACTGTAAAGCGGTCTATTTGAATATATCTGAGCTACCTATTCCTGACATCCACAAGAAGTTATTTGTTTTTTGTTTGTTTTTAACATATCATTATGTTAATTTGATTGCACAACCTATTCAGGTGTGTTTTTGAAAAGTTCACGACCTTTCGCTGTACACGTTACAAAAAAGCCCAATCAAAGACATCGTGATTGTTGACAATATGCATGAAAAAGAACGTACATTATTCAGATGTCGATTCCTGAACTACCAATTTTCAACTGATGATCACTCAATACTAATCTTTACGATTGACCAAGAAATAAGAAATAGAAATGTATTGGAATACTTTGTCCTGAAAATTCTATATTCTATCAAGGCTATAATTTTTTTAATAAAACTGATAGCAGTAATAGTAGAAGTAGTAGTAATATTTTTTTATAGAAAGACACTCCTAATAAAACAGAAATAAGGTTTAACGGTCAAGAAACCTTGAACAAATATATTTCAAAAGACCCTATCTGAGATTCAAATTCATGATACTGAATATCAAAGTCAAAAATAGTTCTACTAAGTTTTATGGATAGATTTATTTTTTCAACAAAAACCAGGTATAATGAAATATAGATTCATGAGGTATGATCAATCAGCTTGTAAAGGATTAATTCCTCTATATTTGACTCGAGTAAATGAATAATGTCCCGTTAACGGAATATTTAATCCAGGTCGAGATTATTCAAAAAAACGAATACCAGTTATAGAGATAGCAACAATTCGGAAGACTCTCTCTATCTCCAACATTGTACTAGCATTCCATGTACCTAGATAAATGGTTGCTCTGATTGTCAGAAGAGGCATCGACCTCGTGAGTTCCGAAGGAACTCGGCTTTCACCATGAAGCGTCATAACTCTCCTAAATGAAGACCTACTGAATCCCATAACAGAATTTAGATGGTTTTATAGTTTTATTGGCGATTTAGTTTTCTATGGGATGGGGTCACTAACCCCGTGTCCAAACCCCCCCCCTGTATTAGGGCTTGGGACCGGCAGTAGTCCCCGGAAGGGCTAATGGATTGTGGATAAATTATTGTTGTTAATCTTATTTGTTTAATAAATGATGGATCATGTTTGATTTCACTGTATTCGCCATTTTAATTCTCATGTTAAACATAAAATACAGGCTTTTTACTACTGGATTTCTTTTTTAATGGTAAGAAAGATTTTAGTGATATTGTCGTATGGGTTACTTATATACACATAAGTAGTATATGGTGATGGTCAAGCATTGAATGCATTTCAGTAGAAGATCGATAAGGAGAGAACAGGAATGGCACGTAATTGGTACGGAACAGCATGAACAATTATAATCGGAGACTAAGGATGAATATTTGCAGAAGAAACAGTCAGATTGAGACAATTGATTGATAGTTTGCAAATTAACTGTTCGCTATATGGTTGTCAGATTTTACTGAGATATTCTGTAATTTTGTGCCTAGATACATTGGATTGTCCCCACCCGTGTTCTTGTTCACTACAATATTATTCTTTTTTATACACTTTATAAAGATATATAAACGCGAGGGTTTTCTATAATTGATTAATAATTTCATAAAAATAAAGCCAGAAATTATTGATTAACTTACCTTCTTAGGGTTGATAAATCATTGTTGCCAGCAGCAAACAATAATGTACTAACTGCATCTGTTCGATAAGAATCACGTGGTTTCCGTGGATCAATTTTTTTATCATAATGTAAATGACTTTCATAATGATGTAGTATGAATCTATGAACAAGTTCCTGGTTATATGAAAAGTTTTCAAGGGAAATCATAAATAGGTAAAGACAGAATAAGAGAGAGTAGAATTGAAAGACAATGAATTACCATTATACTGTTACATCAGACTTCTGACATAATTTTTATACTATATAAGAACTTTCGTCAAAATGAGAGCTAATAGTTTCACAGTATTTCAGCACCGAGTTGATGTATGACATTAAATAGGAATAATATATTTTTAAAATGTCAGCGAATGAATTTGAAGTAAATCCAACGTTTCTCCTGATGATCTGGTCCAAGCTTGTAACTGATGGAGCATCCAAGAAACTAAATTTATTTTATTTTATTCTAACCCTTCTTAACCATTCCAGTTTTGATCAGATTGCCAGGTGAAACGTTGGATTTACTTCAAATTCATTCGCTGAGATTTTACAAATATATTATTCCTATTTAATTTTTATACTGTTTTGTAAATCCTCTGCGTAGTGGATTTTTACCCTACATATGACACAACGTAGGACCGTAATTTTGACATTTAAAAAGAAAAATCATTCAATTATTTATTCATATAATCATGTCCAAGCTATACTTTTCATATGAGTTGATGATACGACACGACTAAGTAAACTGTAATATATGGAGAACATCTTTAGAACTTATGTTTGAAGAGTATCGGTTACTACTTTAAAGCCAAATAACTTATTCTAGCATCTGAACAAACTAACCTAATTATTCTTCTTGAGTTACATTTCGACATTGTTAATTATCCGCTTCACTAACAGTAATTGTTTTTATGTAAGCTTATGTGTGTTTATTACTTATCTTACTCATCATATGCCTTTAAATTATTTTTGCTCGGCTATAAATATCGATTCAAGCTTGATTAAATGAAGTTAGTTCATACGCCTTTTAAACTGCGTGTCATTTCGTTTCCCTAATTGCTTGTTCAAATTAATGAGTGCATTAAATATACATATTAAAAATGCATTCTCGTTCCGCTATTCACCAACGTGAGTTAAGTCATCGGTAGATAATATACAAGGGTAGCCGATATGTGTATTTCAATAACATTCATACCATCCAATTAGAGTCAGATATTGGGTCACTAAAAATGATCCTTCACAATTCAATTAAATAAAATATAAACTTAATATCAAAAATAAATAATTAAATTTGTTCAATAAAGTTAATAAAGTGAGAAACTAAATACATCTTAATAAAAATATATCAAATCAGAATAATAAAGTAAGTAGTAAATAAGTAGTATATTAACTAGAAATCCACTTTCATTGGTTATTAATCAATCATCTTACGAGAGATCAATCGCTAATCAAATAGCTAAATGATAAATTCATAAAGTGTGAAGCATATATTTATAATCTGAAAGGGTTTTGTGGAAGCGGGATCGTGGATACTCACTACTGAGGAGTTCCACAATAGGACGAAACGGCCATCCAGTGCTTCCAGGTTTTTCATGGTGGTCTACCTTCAACTGACTCAAAATTTCGACTATTAAAATATTGAAATTTCCACAAAACCCCTTCTAATCACAATACTTCAGTATTAAACTTTTTTCTAACTGAACTAATAAACCCATACTCTAAGATTATAACCAGTATATTGACAATTTACTTGTTAAAAATGGGAAAAATAATTAATTATTCTATTTTTTCCTTAGATTCCATTCTGTATCAGTCAATATTAATTTGCTTTGGTACATAGAAACTGTCCAGGAATACTAACTAACTTGAACATTCAACTCAACTATATAAACAAACGGGTAAAAATCAATTTTACCGGTAACACAATAAAAGAATCAATAATTTATGGAATATCAAAAACCAGGTTTAATTGATGATTACAGGAAGTAAAAAATCTAGTAAAATCACATCTTAATGTTCTTGAAATTCTGAATTCGGTTCATAGATATACAAACCATTCTATTCATAAATAATCAATATTTCCAGAATACTAATGGGGTTAAAAAAGTAATCAGAAGATAGTCATTAAACTAGAACATATATAGTACGCTCATCATTGAAGCATATCTAAGGTCTTTTTTTAAAAAAAAGATAATATTACCCATGAGGTTCTCGATCTGTAAGAGACGAGACTACTGAGATTATAGGTACAATCCTATCTGATGTACACTCATGAATGTACTATGAGGAGAACTTACAAACTAATATGAAACAGTTGTTACTGTTTTTATAGCAGTTTACTAACACATGTCAGTTCGTGTTGAAAGGAAGTGTTTCATAGAACATTGATTAAACTTGAAATACAATGATAAAAGGATCTCCTATTATGGGACTCCTCAGCAGTGCACATCCACGACCTCGCTTCACGAGATTCGAACCCAGGACCTACCAGCCTACCAGCGCGAGACTGGTAGGTCCTGGGTTCAAATCTCGTGAGGCGAGGTCGTGGATGCGCATTGCTGAGGAGTCCCACAATAGCACGAAACGGTCGTCCAGTGCTCCCAAGTTTTCTCTGGTGGTCTAGCTTCAATTGATTCACGCTTTCAACTATGAAAAATACTCAATCTCCACAAAACCCCTCCTGATAATTAGAAAAAGATCTAACAATCTATTTCTACATATGACTAGTTTCAGAGTGTGAGTAGTCAATCATTTTATAGCGTAACATAGGTAAAAGGTAATGAGCCAACTGAATGATTAGTTTTACTTTGTAAATGATCATGAGAAAATATGAATATAGGGTGGAATATAATTTGGATTGCTTAATGAACGAAGTAATCGATTCTCTAATATCTCCTCTTAAGTCATACTTTAAGAGACTCTTACATGTTATAATGAAGCATCATCCTTTATAATGTTTTGAACTAAAATTATCTTTCAAAGGTATATGTAGAAACTCCTAGGATTAATTTTTGGCTTTTTCCTAATTTTACTATTCAGTCAGTTGCTCAAATGGCCGGAATTTTAAAAAAAACATGAAAACCCAAGTAAAATGTCTTGATGAAATCGATATTGAATAGGTGAATAGTACTGACTTGACAGAATTGTATACCTCTGGCCGAATTCCCATGTCTATCAATTGGCGGTGACCAAACAGCTAAACCAAGTAAATTAGGCACGACTACCATGATTATACCGGATACACCAGATTTACATGGCAAACCAACCTTTTTAAGTAAATATGAAATGTTTATACATGTATTTGTGTAAAAGAAAGCAATGAATGATTAGAAAAAATATGTAACGTTATGTATTTACGTATATTGTACAAATGCATCAATATAAACTTGTCAGTATGGAGATTGTTGACCTTCGGTTGAATAACTACTAAAGAACAAGAAGTATCGTACAGCCATGGTATAGAAATGACGTTTTCATAACCTCCTCAGTGTCTGAACCGATGTCCTCCAAGTTTCGTGATAGTTTTCTAAACATCAGATACCTTACACTACTAACCTTAGTTAACTGTAGCTATAGTCAGTCAGTAACTTCAAATTATAAAATAAGTTTTCAGTGAGACTATAATTTACGGACAACCTTTGAGCAATGCCTAAGTGATCTTGAGAAAATTCATCAACATGCTACGGTCTAAAGAGTGTTATAAATTAGTGTAAGTAATCAGAATCGAAATTTAGAGGTAGAAGTTAGAGTTAAGAATTATAATTTGAGTTTTTATCACGAACTCACGCCAGCTATAATGTTAAAATGCTATTTAACCATTTAGATAAATCATTTCGCGCCAAAATCCAAGACTTGTTACCTTAAATCTGATTGGTTTATCCATAAATTGTAGTCTCGCCAAATTTTCTTTTTAAAAAAAGATCACTAAAGTCGTACTGAAGAAGAATTTTGTTCCAAGTACATTTTTTTATAGATTACATGATTGATGAATGTTCCTGAATTTTTCGAATAACCGTCAATGGCAATAATTACTGTTATTCTTGTCTAAGATAGGTTATTTATATTAATTACTTACTTACGCCTGATACTCCCAATGGAGCATAGGCTGCCGACCAGCATTCTCCAACCCACTCTGTCCTGGGACTTTCTTATTTATATTATAGAGATAAAATGTTCCCTTTAGTCGATGTTTGTACAGATAATCGATTAGTTTCTATATATTTTTCTTTATAAACTGACAACAGTTAAAGAATCACTAAAGATTAATAAATGTGATTCAATATCATTTTCTATCATAAGTTGATTAAGGTTCAAAATGTAAGCTATTTGAATGCAACTTATAAATTTTAGAGGAATCATGCTCCAATGTGGTGTGGGTTACTGATATCCACATAGGCAGTATATGGTGATGGTCGGGCATTGTATGTATTTCAGTAGAAGATCGATAAGGAGAGAACGGGAACGGAACTCAATCGGTACGAAAATGCATGAACAATTATAATCGGAGACTATGGATGGATATTTGCAGAAGAAACAGTCAAATTGAGACAATTGATTGATAGTTTGCAAATTAACTGTTCACTATATGGTTCTCATATTTTAATGAGATATTCTGTAATGTTGTGTTAAAATACATTCGATGGTCCCCACTCGTGTTTTATTTTTTTACACCAAGAGAAATCTGAAAGTTATGAGTTCAAGACTCATATGTAAAGTGTACATTGTTAAAGAGTCAAAAAAAACAGGACGATATAAGTTCGACCCTTCAGTGGGTGTTATTCCATTACAAAGTACCAGTTTATTTATAACACAATTAAGTTAATAAAAAAATAGTTATTTAAATGGAAAATCTAATTTGCTTCCACTTCCCCTAATTAGTATGACAATTATCTTAGTAAATTCAAACCAAAAAACAAACAAGATAGAACAATTTACCTTGAATGCAAATTGTCCTGAATAATCATACATTCCACATGAATGCATAACAGATAATGTATCTCGTGCTGCAGCTGCACTTACTACAGTTTCATTTGTTAATGGATTAATACCACCATTCGCTAATGTTCCAGCCATAATTCCAGCGGACTCACATGTTACTTCAATTGAACATATTTGAAAATAGAAATCCATTAATTCACGTAATTCAAAAGTTGGCGGAAAACATTTATTTTCACGCATATAATATGCAATAGCAAAATTACGATCAGCTGTTTCACGTTCTGATAAAAATCTGAAAATAATTAATAAATAAAATAATCAGAAGGGGTTTTGTGAAGATTTCAGTATTTTCATAGTTGAAAGCATGAGTCAATTGAAGCCAGACCATCAAAGAAAACCTGGAAGCACTGGACGGCCATGGATGCGCACTGCTGAGGAGTCCCAAAATAGGATGAAACGGCCGTCTAGTGCTTCCAGGTTTTCTTTGGTAATCTAGCTTCAATTGACTCATGCTTTCAACTATGAAAATAAAATAATGAAAATACAAATATTCTTTTTGGTAAGTTCGACTCAGATCTATAAATTAGTGATCTCAAAATAGGAAGATGATTCAAACGAATGGAATGATGTTTTTTGGCAATGGTACCATATGAGAATTCATGATGGTTTGTAGTATAGCAACTTTCTTATGATCAGTTTTGATTATGGTTAAATTTTGGTCAAGCCCTTACTGAGAACACAATGTTATTCGAACAGTAACAATTCGCAAACTTCTTTGTACTATTATTATCATTAACATGTCTGTGTAAAAGGGTACGCTTAATCATATGATAGCCTACGCACATATCTCTCTCTAGCTAAAATGTGCTCGAATCCTATTACTAGCCTTTACGTTGCCTAGCTGTGCCATAATTTGATTTGACTATAAATTCGCCACTGTATTCGCTTGCACACACACATTAGCATCTCTGCTTCGAATTCGCTCAATGTGCTCATAAATTTGTTGTCTGTGCTATCCGCCAATAAACGGATGTCGCCTCTTCTTATTGCCTTTTGATTTCAAACACCGTTGATATTTTTAAAAGAACGGTTATCAAGGTGATTGATTAACGAATCTAAGCCACTACATTCATACATAATTTAGTAATAATGTAATAGCATATCGAATCAAATGTTTGATCAATGATTATATAATAAAATATAGAGTGATTTTTTAATTCAGTGAGAACTAGTAACGAAGAGTGAGTGGTAACTAAATTATCCATGAATTCAGAATAAGTCAAATAGAAATCACGAAAGTCTAATGCAGAAGGGTGTCTGCACATTAATCAAATTAAGTTAACCTGTTATCGAGATGACTACTGATGTTTTAGGCCTGAAACTGACCAAGGAGAACAAGTAACTGAACGTAGTGTTCTTGTATATAAAACTCCAGGTTATTTAATTCAAACAGTCATTGCTTATGCTATTTAAAAGACTTTGAATCTGAAACACTTTATCAAACAACAAATAGCCTAATAAATTATTGAAAATAACTAATTAAACCTGTCACTTTGACATGTTTGAAATGGATGGAGTTATCGAAAGTCTTGATCATACATTTGATAACCCAGTTTGAGAGGTGTTTACGAGTACGAAGAAGTAAATTTCTAAAATTTTGACTGATGCAAACTGCTTCATAGGGGCAATTGAATAGAAAGATAACAAAGATGTTATCAAATTTAAGTAATTTTTCTATTAACCCCGGTGTCACTATCAAAATTGTAGAAAACACTCTCCATCATTGAACATTCTTCGAACTGTTTAGCATAATCTATAAATTAAATTTTCATCGGTTACATCACCTATGAATTATAGGTATATTGCGTTCAAGAGATCGATACTAAAGCAATAGATTATTAAAAATAACGGATTATTATCAAATTTGACCCCCGTTTGGACTAGACAGGTTGTGAAAGACAAAAAATTGAACCAATGAATCTTTATAGCCTGTAAATGACGAAAATGTACTCAATATTGCCCAATAGTAGCTTAGTAATTACAGTATAATAATCAAAATATTCGATGTAATAATATCAATGTGAAACTACGCTAACATTAAATTCTATAAATAAGCGATAAGTACAGCTAACAATGTTTAATGCAAATGAGAACGTTCGAACGTTTTTCCTGACTGTAGGTACAATATAAAGTTAGTTTTGATTTTCAATAGTAAGATGATGATAAGCGTCAGCATATGAATGTGACTGAAATCAAAATCTTTCAAAGAACAAATAATCAAGGTTTTGGTTGCAGGTAGTCGACAGGAAACCATAGACCTAGGTTTCGTGCTATTTGGTGCCCATCACTAAGGTGAACCTGTAATCTTGGAGGAACGAAAAGTATCTGATGGATTCGATCTCGTTGCAACTAACTAAAACACATTACCACTGAATTGTTCAGGCATCTACCGACCTACTACAGAACTGAGATGCATTCACACCTGCTCAATTCTGTCGACTACTATCAACCACTACCGCATGTATCAACCTGATGTACGCGATACCAAGTTACTTAGACTGGTGGCTACATTAGAACCTGATCAGCACTAAGATGGGCTCCACATACATGATATTGGTCGTTACTAAGTGATCAATTGATTTGACAGCGAAAATAAACAGATTTTCTCGTTTATTTTTTTAGGGAGCGATGAGATCGGACCGTAAAACAGTTAAGGAGTTGTACTGATTAGCTTTTTTAGACTGTGTATGATACCAATAACCTTCAGCAAATCAATTATACGTTAAATGTGAGATAACAGCAGAAAGAAATAATAAATGAAAATTGGTCAAGAATGTAATATCCCACACTTTGTCACCCAGTAAGCAGAATAAAGAACAACTCAGTAAGTAGATAGCTTATAATTATACAGCTCAAAGTTATGAATATTGAGTAAAATCCTGACATTACATCAATGGAATTAAGAAAATACAATCTGGACAAAATTGTGTCGTAAGTGAAACAGAACTGAATAATAGGCGCGTAATAAGTTAAGAATAACTTCAAAAAGGCAAAACATACAACACTAGTTTATGCGTTAAACAAAACCTAGCAGGTAGAAGATTAAACGAAAATAGTGGTTTGGATATTTATTAATTATCCAATAAGAATATAAATAATAACATCAGATAAAACTGAATTCACTTAGTATTGTTTGTTTGGATCTTCCCATCGATGTGTTTATGACTGCAACTGGTCAGTCTCTTATTGCCATATGTGCATACTGTGCGTATTGCCTCGATATACCTTAATTCACAAGCATGGTAAGCAGAGATGGATAGTGGCTAGCAGTGGAATCCAGGACGCGCGTTTCGTCCATCTCTGCTTACCATGCTTGTGAATTAAGGTATATCGAGGCAATACGCACAGTATGCACATATGCCAATTAGAGACTGACCAGTTGCAGTCCTAAACACATCGATGGGAAGATCCAAACAAACAATACTAAGTGAATTCAAACTTCACCCCATCGCACAAGCAAGTGGGTATGAGGACTCAGTGACCGAGTGGATAACGCGATGACGTTTGAAGCAAGGGTACTGGGTTCGAGTCCCAGAAAGAACATCAACTCTGAGATGCAGGTACATCCAGCTGACGAGTCCCAAATAGGACGAAACGCGCTTCCTGGATTCCACTGCTAGCCACTATCCATCTCTGCTTATCAGATAAAACTGTTTGAAAGATCACTTTCTCCCCATATTTATCCTGACATATCATCCATTTTGACGGGGTTTCGTTCTCTTAGCTGAATGGTTTGGTCGTGGAGCTTTCATCGTCTTTCTGAACGACATCGGCAGCACAAACTTCGGGTAGAAGTGAAGTGTGCTGATGATGTCGTTCAGAAGGACGATGAAAGCTCCACGACCAAACGATTCAGCTCAGAGAAAAAACGTCATCAAAATCACCCACCTGAGCTATAAATCTTCTCCACCATCTTAATATCATCAATTGATTGTAAAGGAATAATCAAATTAAATAACTTCCACTCAATAACGTTAAAAGAATATTCAGAACTAGGTAACTCTGTGGATAATTAAGTAAATCTCACAAACTAACAGCATATGACAGTTTTGTTCATGTTCCAAACCCTTTATCAGTATGAGCAACACCAACCGTCAGTAACATGAATAAACTAATCAGCTGTAAAGTCGAAATTTCACTCCTCTGATTTTATTTACTTCGATCCATCTGAGATAGTCAATACCATTCGCTTATTCTCATCAATTAATTACCGACTGATTTATCCTTAAATTACTAGACTTTTCATTGGTCAACATATCCTGAAGGCATCCATTTATTTATTTATTTATTTAAACACATAAATATTGGTACAAAGAAGCACCAGGTTCATATGCGCCGCACAAATCTCATTTGATTTGTGTTAGCGCTAAGATACTGTCCAGGTTCCCAAACTGAAACTGGTGGTTTTCATAGGGGAAAACACCTGGAACCATTGACCTAAAGGTCTGATCCACAAGGTAGTAGAGCATCGTGAGGAGATGCAGTCCCAAGGCAGCCAGTGACCAACGACTGATTCATACGTTATTTGTTACCTTAGGATACCGGAGCCCATATGCACCATTGGTGAAGGCATCCATAGAAACATTTTTCAAAGCCGATCAATCACTACCATGCAGACAATTATTACTATATATTCAATTGTAGAAGTAAAAAGTAATACACAAATATCAACTTACACAGCATTATTAAATCCCATCGGTAATCCACCAGCCATTTGACTAAATTTATTTTCAACATACTTAAAACGCTCTGAAGGATTTAAATTTGGTTGTAGGATACTACAAATAGCTAATGCTCCAGAATTTATTAAGGGATTATGTGGTTTACCTATTTAATAAATAAAAAAAATTTAAATAAAGATTCGGACGAGAATCTGTGCTTTCAACGTGGTATAGTCGCCAGTAAATAATGATTCACTAGACGATAATTTCAACAATCCATTAAATAAATTCAACTTAGTAATGTTTGTTTGAATCTTCCCATCGATTTGTTAGGACTGCAACTGGTCAGTCTCTAATTGGCATATGTGCATACTGTGCGTATTGCCTCGATATACCTTAATTCACAAGCACTATAAGCAGAGATGGATAGTGGCTAGTATTAAATATGTACCGATATACTCACAATCAAGATTACTTATGTGAAATTGGTTAGTAGAGAATGCTAAATAAAATATTTATCAAAGACTATTATGGCTATTCACAAAGTCAAATGTTTTCAGAGGATTGACATCAAACAGTCCGTCTCATCATAAACTGACGTTCTCTGGAAGAATTAAGAGCACAAAATAATTGTTTCATTATAAACTAGGACTGACTCGTTAATAATGCTCATCCACTGACGAACCTATACGGAATTAAACAAGAAGGACCTTGAAGTTTGATGATGGATATCATGGGCGAGATTATAATTTATGTTCGAACCAATCATGTATAAAATAACAGGTCCCGCATTTTCGTGCGGAGTTTACTCATTCATTTGGATAAATGGAGCTTTGGCATTATAGCTGATGTCAGTTCGTGATGAAAACCCCCTAAATCTAATTTCTAACCTTAATCATTAAACATAAATCATAATTCTAATTCTTCACACAGGTTTATAACCCTCATTTTGTGCTTAGTTATTAGGTGAACACTCTCAAGGTCACTAGCGTCGCTCAAAAGTCGTCCATAAGTTATAGACTCGGAACATGATTTTTTTTACAGTAACAAGAGAAAAATAATTGTTTATTTAAAGAACAGATAGAATATGGCTTATATATAGGTATATAGCTTAATATACCTACTTCACAGTATTGATAACGACATCATGACTCAAACCTAGTACCTTTTTACTTCAAACAACTTAAAAGTTATCTACTATACCTACTGATGTAGTGAACAAGAACACGGGTGGGGACAATCGAATTTAATTAGGCACAACAATACAAAATATCTCATTAAAATATGAGAATCATATGGTCAACAGTTAATTTGCAAACTGTCAATCAATTGTCTCAATATAACTGTTTCTTCTGCAAATATCCATCCATAGTCTTCAACTATAATTGTTCATGCTATTCCGTACCAATTGCGTGTCGTTCCCGTTCTCTCTTTATCGATCTTCCACTGAAATACATTCAATATCTGATCATCACCATGTACTACTTATTATGTGTATATCAGTAACCTAAACCACACTGAGTCTAAAAACCAATTAGTTTGAGCAAAGAGCATGAATTTCTCTTATTCTTTTCTCTTTCAATATCACCATAAACTGATTTTAATATTTTTATTGTTTTATAAATTAAGAATTCTATATTCTGTCATATCAATGTCTCTATTTTATTGATAAATTTCCCATTGTAAGTGATAGGCAATCTATGGAAACGAAATATGATTGGTCAATTAATAAATATTATAAATCAAAATAGAATTATTGGTTAATTACATTAATAATTTTATAGTGTTTCTCTTAAAGTAACCGTCGCAACAACAACAAAAACAAAGTAGGAAAATTTTTTATTGATTTTCATTCAGGTAGAAAAATTCTCTAAAAATAAAATCACTATTTAAAAAAAAAGAGGAACGGTACTTTTCATAGTTTATTATCAAAAACTGATTTTAATTAAATAATTATTGAAAGTTAGAAAGTACCGGAGAGTAGTTTGATCATAAGACGCACAAATGCTCTGGCACAGCCGAGAGTGGGGAAAGTCAGCTCTCCCTCTGGAAATGCTCTCATATGACCACGCGTATACAACCACTTCCAGAGAAGTCCTACTCACTCCCTTATCGTGGTGAGGGTGTTGTTTACGAAAAGCGAATGTCTGGCTCTTTAATGGGACCGGTTGACACGGAAAGTCCACATAGGGCAGTTAGAAAACTCTGATTCCGAACCAATGGTGCACATTAGCTCCAGTATCCTGAGGGAACAAACGGCGTATAAACCAGTCGTTGGTCACCGGCTACCACGGGACTGCATCTCTTCACGATGCTCAACTGCCTTGTGGATCAGACCTTTAGGTCAAAGACTCCGGATGTGGCCCCCTAAGAAAACCACCTGTTTCAATTTGAGCACCCGGTCAGTATCGTAGCCCTCACACAAATCAAATGAGGTTTGTGCAGCGCATATATAACTGGTGCCCCTTGGTACCAATATTTATGTGTTTAAATAAATAAATTGGTCATAATATTAAACCTTTTATATGTACGACTTCGACATAGATACAGATCGAAGCCTTAAAATCTCATAATGAGAGCATAATATTTAAACTGATGAATCAATATTCTCATAGTTGAAATAATGAGTCATGAGTGGATGCACACTACTGAGGAGTACCATAATAAGACGAAATGACCGTCCGGTGCTTCCAGGTTTTCCATGATGGTCTAGCTTCAATTGACTCATGACTTCAACTATAAAATTATTAAAATTCTCTACAAAACCCCTTCTGATCTAGTATCAATATTCAATAGTTAATATTTTTGACTTCAATCAGTTCATAATATACTACTCAATTATCTTTTTTTTAAAGTCATTAATGAGCATTTGCTTCATATCTAACATAATTGAACTCCATTATATATAGAAAACAAAATCATTAAAAGCAAAAACTAATAATCATACATCAATAATTAAATTAATTTTACTGTATTTGATTATTAAAGAATAATCCATCTGGGGTTACTTTATTACAACAAAATCAATAATGAATAATCGGCATAGTTACTAAGTAGTTTCTTCTGTAAATATCAAACGACATTTTAATGTAAATAGTAGTGAGAAATGTAGTAAAGAGTTGAAATATCTGGAAATGATGGATAGATTTTGTAATTCAGGTTGATACTTTGATGTTAGATGGTTTAATCTTAAAGTACATACTGATAATATATTGTTTAGAATGACAATCAAAGTTTGTTGATCTATTTATTTTCATAATCAAAATCATGAGTCAATTGAAGCTAGACCACCATAGAAAACCTGGAAGCACTGGACGGCCGTTTTATCCTATTGTGGGACTCCTCAATAGTTCGCATCCACGATCTCGCCTCGCCAGATTCGAACCCAGAACCTACCAGTCTCGCGCCAGAGCACTTAGCCACTAGACCACTGAGCCGGCCGGCATCCGATGGTGTTAATGTCTAACCTCAACCAATCCACAAAGTTTGAGCAACCCTTTCACCAATTGTCTTCAGTGAGTTGATATTTCACAACAGACGTAGTTGAACTGCACTGGTCAACTGATTCATGATTTCAACTATGAAAATATTGAAATCTCCACAAGACTCACCTTCTGATTCATTTATTCTTAGTTTAGACAATTCAGCAACATTAAAAGTACAATATTAAATTGTTTAACAAATTTTTTTATTAACTACACGTAAATTATTAACTTACTTTTATGGTTTAAAGAAATTTGATTAAATGGTAATCCTGATGGTTCATAACCAACATATTGATGAACATAATGTGGACCTAAATCGGTCAAAGCTAAAGCATATGTAATTGGTTTGCTACTAGATTGTATTGTAAATGGAATAGTACTATCACCCATAGATAAACTATGGAAATTTAAAACAAAAAAGAAGAAATAAACACGAACAAGTATCAATATTGAAACAAGAAAATTAAAAAATATATACAACAATTCAGAATAATCCGAAGGGAGTAGTGCGCATCCACGATTCCGCCTCGCGAGATTCGAACTCAGGACCTACCTGATGAGAATTGGTTGAAGTCAGACATTTACACTGTTGGACGCCGGCTCAGTGGTCTAGTGGTTAAGCGCTCGGGCGCGAGACTGGTAGGTCCTATGTTCGAATCTTGCGAGGCGGGATCGTGGATGTGCACTACTGATGAGTCCCACGATAGGACGAAATGGCCGTCAAGGGCTTCCAGGTTTGCCATGGTTGTCTATCTTCAATTGACTCATGATTTCAACTATAAAAAATTCTGAATAGATTTATTTTATAGATGGTAGATTTTTTCAAGTGATTCCATTTAAATTCAAAGAAATGATTGTTTTAGTGAGCAAATAAACATGAACAAAAGAGAATAGGTGAAAACTAATGAAAAGTCATTTCATCAAGCTAAGAGATTCCCTAACAGTGATTGTTTACAATCACCTGAACATTGATTCATTTGACATTATGCAATTGTTAACTTTTGATGACCCCAGTTATTTCGCAATTTAGTATGTGTGATCCTTATTCATTTCTATGAAAGCGTTACTGTGATTTTTCTGATCTGGTTAACTTTATCGATAGAATGGTTTCTCAGTGAAAATATTTCAGAATTCTGTCTAGAAGATAGTTGCAAAAAAACACATAAATAATAATTATGTCAGTGATTTTATGAAAAATTTGGCGTTTTACAAATTCTATTGGCTACGGTTAAAGAACGTATGGAACTCAAAACAACTGTCAAGCAACATCAAAGTTATAATATTCAATACAAACGTCAGAGCAGCTCTACCGTACGGAGCTGAAACTTGGGGAACTACCACAACCATCATCAAAAAAGAACTTTCAGCAATTTACTTTACAACATCAATTCAAAATTTCTCAGTGGAAACGGGATAACCAATGAGGGGTAGACAATTTGGCATTAGTTTGTTTTATATAATGTCCTTCAAATCTATCATCAAAACAGTACAAGTAATTATAAACAATTGTCTACGCAAAATACTCAATGTCTGTTGACCAGATACTATCAGCAACAGCCTACTGTGGGAAAGGACAAATCAACTTCCAACTGAAGAGGAAATTAGGAAAAGATGTTGGAAGTGGATATGACATACATTGAGCAAATCACCAAACTGCATCACAAAGCAAATACTAACTTGGAATCCTGTAGGGAAACAGAAAAGAGGAAAGCCAAAGTACACACTGTGTCGGGAATGAGAAGCAGATAAGAAAAGTTTGAATAGCAAGTGGAAACAACTGAAAACAACTTCCCCGGATAGAGTTTGATGGAGAATGCTGGTGTGCGGTCTATTCCCTTCACGAGGGTTAACAGGTGTGAGTAAGTAATTGGCTAATTAAAGAAAGATGTTGAGATAAGATGGTGGTTGGAGGTGGTCAACAGGAAACCCTGAATCCGGGTTTCGTGCTACTTTTCACTCGCCAGCAAGGTGTATCTGTAATCGTCAGGGAACTGGTGCTTCATGACGGATTCAATCCCGTATCACTCAGCTTCACAGTCAGAAACGTTACCACTGAGCTATTCGGGCCTCGACCGATCTCCTGTAGGACTGAGATGTAATCACAATTGATTGATCACTGGGTGGTGATCAATGTCATGCGTGCCAAGTCCTTCTTAGTGCTGATCTCATGCTATCGATCAAGTTGCAATGTGGCCAATAGTCTAGGTGGCTCGACACTGTGTGCACTATGTTGAGATAAGGTGGTGGTTGGAGGTGGTCAACAGGAAACCCTGAACCCGGGTTCTCATATTTTAATGAGATATTCTGTAATGTTGTGTCTAAAATACATTCAATTGTACCCACTCGTATTCTTGTTCACTACAGTAGTGGTAATATCATTTGTAGTAGTAAATAATTACTATACCGCAAAACATTATAAATCATCTGTTCAAACTTAAATGAGTTCATCATACTTACCGTTGTCCATCTACAGTACACAATGATAAACCCCAATAATTTGGATTCATTTCTTTTAATTCTGGTATATAACTAGCTACTTGACCACTTGTATTTTCTTTACATAAATTAAAAACTGTTTGAATTTCTTTAGTGAATGATTCAAAATCTGGTATACAAAAATCATTTGTCATAATACGTAATAACATATGAAGATTTTCTTTTGCTACACTAAAATAAGAAACATGGTATTAATTAAGTGAAGTACTGAGAAGACATTATGTTTCCGACTTTATAGCATCAAGAACATGTACTTACAGACTCATACAGGATATAAGCCAGAACTACCGGATAATTGACAGCAATAAAAATACTTTCAAACGATTGAATAGGAATTCGATGGCTCACATTTTCAAATCTAGCTACTGTGATACAGAGTGATTATCAATAAACAATATCGTTAGGTTACTATATCAACCCTAAATTTTCTAACTTCACATGTTATTTTATTATACCTGCTTGATTCGTTGCAACTTCGAAAATATCTAATCTCATTTACAAATCTGTTATGCTTCGATAACAATAGTGAATGGTAACTTTGGGATCTATTTACGAACCAATATTATGCATATATATATTTTTATCGTATATTCGCTAAATACTTAAACTACTAATATTCATGTTCCTTTCATTGTGAGCTTTATTTTGACCCTTGGACTATTATTGTACGATTTACCATTCCTGAGTTATACCCAGTCTATGAATTACTGCTCCCCCTATTCACAGCCACATTTGGTTAACTCTTGTAAAAATGTTATTTTCTATTTTATTGGTACGATGTACACAGTCTGTTTGGTATATAAACTCAGTATGTTTGAAATACAAGGATTGCTAACGCAGAGGCCGTTATTGGTGTTCTGGAATTAACTGGCTGTGCTAGGCAGGTAGCAGAACCGATAAACACTTTAAACTGCTCGTATGGCTTTCGTGTGTCACTGTTCCAATTGATAATTTGCTGCTCTCTGATTGGCGGTCATATCACGTCATACATTAACTGGGCATTCATTCGGCCACAAAATATAACAAAATCTATGCATACTGGAACGATTCAATTTATTTTCGGTTTATTTCTATATTATGTTCAATCAGAAAAACGTTTGTTTTATTGAACTAGATGAAACAAATAAGTTTTACCGTACTTTGAAATCAACAAATACACATTTCAATGAACTAAATGATCAATTACAGGTAATTAATGTTAACAGTATGGGGTTGTGGATATTAGTGATCTCAATCAAAAAAATGTCATACCTATCTAGTCCTTAGTTCTGATAGGACTCGGAGGACTAGATTATCAATTAGTCACCAATCCAAGTGGATAAATACTGCAATGTTTGGTAGTAATGAGCAAGAATCTCTAAATCTCGATTTAAGATGGATAATACACGTCATAAATGCAACCCTGTGCTTTTTGTACAGAACTAAGAAGTAAATGACATAACATTGATAACTACACAGGGATTAACTAATGCACATATTCCAATACTACATAAAGTCTTTCGCATCACAAATATATTAATTTACAGTGTCTTCTATTGTGAAAATGGGTCTCGTGTGTTTGATCACCATCCAAAGTATGAGTTCTAGCAAAGATTGTGAATATATCGAGGAGTATTACTTAGCACAATGTCCTCTACTTGCCTATTACTATTAATATCATATCTTGAGGACAATGAAACATGGATTTATTCAGTTTATCACTCTCTTCATTCTCGAATAATATATTATCAAGCCTAGATACACTGAACACAAACACATTTAGATGTTTTGAAATTCCTCAAGAAATAAACTGTGTTAGCAAAATTCGTGTATGAGGGATATGCTAATGTAATATGCATGTCGTCAGAACTGAAGATCATGGGTCCAATAATTGTTGTCTAGATAAAATTAGTCCGTTATATAAAATATACTCAAACTAAACAAACTTCACATCAATGGGAAGATTCAAACAAACAATACTAAGTGAATTCAAAATTCACCCCATTGCACAAGCAGGTGGCTATCAGGACTCAGTGACCGAGTGGATAACGCGATGACGTTTGAAGCGAAAGGTACTGGGTTCGAGTCCCAGAGTGAACATCAACAAGTCTGAGATACAGGTATATCCAGCTGACGAGTCCCAAATAGGATGGAACGCGCGTCCTGGATTCCACTGCTAGCCACTATCCATCTTTGCTTACCATGCTTGTGAATTCAGGCTATATCGAGACAATACGCACAGTATGCACATATGCTAATGAGAAACTGACAAGTTGCAGTCCAAAAACATCAATGGGAAGATTCAAACAAACAATATCAAGTGAATTTATCCTTATAGTACATAATTTTAATAACGTTATCGATTCACAATAATGAGAAAACAAAAAACTGTATCTGACAGGAAACAAAATTAAGAAAAACCAATCAATTATTACAACGTACATTCGAAATGTTTCTCTATCTAATGTTAATGATTTACTTTGTATAACATTTCGATTGATTTGATTACCTTGTAATTCATTCAATGCTTTTGTAAATTTTGCCAATCTTGGATCATTTAATGATATACCAGCTTTATTCATTAACTATAAATTAAATGGAATAAAAGAATCAATGGTTAGAATGTCAATATAAAGTTTTATGTATTTTTATTAAATAAAATGTGGAAGAATTCATTTTTGTTCACAATAGTCATGTGATGTAGGCTACTTATATCGATATAAGTAGTATATAATACCAATCAGAAGTAAAACGACTGATAGCAGAAGGATGAGAAGATCGAATCAAGAATGAACGGGAACAGAGAGTGATTTTTATTTCAGTAAAGAAACGATGAAGTTTGAGAGAAATTGAAAATGTAGTATTAAACGTATGATTTTCACATTTTACAAAAGAACTCAACAATTTTATATTAAGATTCATTCGTTTTTCCTTACATGTGTATTATTATTTTTATTTAAACACATAAATATTGGTACAAAGAGGCACCAGATACATATGCGCCGCACAAATTTCATTTGATTTGTGTGAGGGCTGTGATACTGCCAAAGTGCCCAAACTAAAACAGGTGGTTTTCTTAGGGAACCACACCCGTAGCCTTTGACCTAAAAGTCTGATCCACAAGACAGTGGAGCATCGTGAGGAGATGCAGTCCCATAGTAACCGGTGACCAACGATTGATTTTATACGCTATTTGTCCCCTCACGATACTGTAGCCCGTGTGCAGCATTGGTTTGGAATAAGAGTTTTCCAACTGCCCTAGGTGGACTTTCCGTGTCCACCGACCCGGTTAAAGCGCCGAACATTCGCTTTTCGCCCTCTCTATTTCGTAAATAACACCCCCGCCATATGAGAGCATTTCGAGAGGGAGAGCGAAATATCGTCACTGTCAGCCGTACCAGGGCATTCGGGGGCTGGAAGAGAGTTTGGGGCGACCAAATAAAAACGTGGCATCAGTGCTTGAAGTCACTAACTTCCACTCTGAGCCATGTTGGTAGATCCAGACTACTTGGTTGGGGTCCGCGTGACTATCGTAACCAATGGTTGGAGACTCTGTATGACATGGCTCAGAATCGATTACAATGGCGTAGGTGTATATACTCTTTATCTGCCCTTAAACAATGAGATTAAAATTGCTTCCTTCCTGTACTATATAATTATATACAACCTTTCTTTTATATGTCAACACCACTAAATTAACTATTTCTATGAATTCGGTCTTCATCTTGTTGTGCTAACGAGGTATGGAAACTTGGACAGGTGCATATGTGTGCCTGGTCCTTTGTTGTGACTGAATGACTGATTGTAAACTAGTTAACATTAAACAGCTAATTTGCTTTGCTAATAATACATATTCTGAATATTTTTCCTAGTTTTACACTCCTAGTACTGTGGTGTGTGCTATTTCATGTCGATAGATATAAGTAGTATGTGACACCAATCGAAATTAAAATGCCTAGCAGCAGAAGGTTGAGAAGATCAAATAGAAAAAAGCGGAAACAAAGACTGATTGATGTGGAAATAAAGGAACAATAAAGTCTGAGACAATTGATGGACGTATGGTATTCAAATTTTACCAAACAACTCTGTAATTTTATATTCGGATGCAATTGGTTGTCCCCACTTATGTTGTCGTTCACTATAATATTTCTATTTCTTACATCACATATTACTTCTAAACACTGGAGCCATTAATTCACTGAGGATTTGTTATGCCCGGAAAAGAATAATGAATGATAATTTTTCGGATCCGTTTATGGACCAATATTATATGTATATTTCCTATTGTATAATTTTTAAGTAACTAAACTATTCATATTCATATTCCTCTTATTATGAGCTTCATTTTGACCTATGAACTATTATTATACGATTTACCGTTCTTGAATTATACCCAGTCTATTAATTACTGTTCCCCACATTCACAGCCACCTTGGCTGAATCTTGTACAAATTTTGTTTCTTATTTTATGGTACGATGTGGTCTGCTTATTTTGTATATAAACCCAGAATTTTTAAAATATAATAATTCATACTACAGAGACTGAGATTGGTGTTCTGAACTTAACTGGTTGAGCTAGGCAGAAAGCAGAACCGATAAATACTCTACACTGTTCATAAGGGTTTCGTGTGTCATTGGTCCAATCGAAAACTCACTACTCTCTAATTTGCGGTATTATTACGTTATACATTAAGAGGGCACGCAGGCGACAAGATATAACATAATTACCTTTTTAAAAAATATTATTATTTAAGATTAGCAATTTTATAGCTTTATTTTATTCGTATCCTTCAATTTGTTTTGTATTTTTATTTTTGTTATAACTTGTGACCGCCTGAATGCCCTGTTAATGTATAATGTGATAATACCGCAAATTAGAGAGTAGTGAATTATCGATCGAACCAATCATACACGAAACCCTTACGAGTAGTGTAGAGTACTTGTAGAGTTCTGTCTAGCCCAGCCAGTTAAGTCCATAACACCAATCTCAGTCTCTGTGATATGAATTGTTTATTTCAAGCATACTGAATTTATACACCAAACAGGCAGACCACATCGTGTCATAAAATAAGAAAATAACGTTTGTACAAGATTTAGCCAAATGTGGCTGTGAATAAGGGAGATAGTAAATGATAGACAAGGCATAATTCAAGAATGGCAAATCGTATGACAATAATTTATAGATCAAAACAAAGCTCATAATAAGGAGTACATGAATATGAATAATTTAGTTATCTAACAATTATACGATAAAAATATATACATAGTATTGGTCCATAAATGGATCCCAAAGTTACCATTCACTATTTCTATCGGCACACAACAAATTACAAATCACTTTATTTATTAAATGATTCAATGGAATATTGTATAATTTTTGAAAACAGTTTACTCAAACCAGTAACTTAATTAATAATACTTAAATGTTTATTCTATCGGTTTAGATATGTACCTTTATTGTTGTGAATAGTTAGCGACTTCCAGGTGAAATAGTCCAGAATCGTTCACAATGTTATAGATACATTCACTGTTTATCTTCTGTTAGATTGGAAACTCCAAAAAGTTCTTATCTATTTTTATCTTGTTTCTTTACTTAATCTTTTCGAGTACTACTGATTCCGTTACTAATTCTATTGTCCTGAAATGTGTCTTGATGAATTTACCTCACTAATTCAATGTCCTGAAGTGAATTGAATCTAACCACATTTGTATTAAGTTATACTTTGCGTATTACTAACTGGCTATTAAAAATGATTTGAATGAGTTGACTATTTAAGACAAGAAATGTTGTCAATTGTTTTAGATAGCAACTTCTTTAAATGATGCTGATGTCGGTGATGACAATTATGTTATTTTTAAATTCAACCATTCAAACAACCGATTGTAATCATCATCTGATATGAATCAACTTCATTATTAAAAAGTCCTCTATACCACATATCTTAATCAAACAATAAAAAAACAGTTTACATTGATTAGTGATCATTGTCATGTCTATCTAGTCCTTAAAGCTGAACAATTTTATTTAATCAAGTTGCCAAGTGGTCATTAGTTTAAGTAAGTTTACATCGTATACACCATGTTATTTGTTACACCGTCTATTTCCTAGAGATGTATACTTTCGTAATGAGGACTATGAACTAATCCTAACCTCCAGTAGGATACTGTAGATGACATTGTTTAAAATCAATGGTAGTATGACCTAGCCTATCCCCCTAGAATATTCTATTGTTTATCTTTTGTTTGTATATTGTTCAATATTTTTTATTACTAGTTTTTTTACAGAGTTCTTTAACGACATTCCATGTCTTCTACCGATACTATCATTCATTTTATTCGTTCTTTTTTTCATCTGGTTCATTCATTTCTTTTTTATACTACCGTTAGGTGTAATAAATTTAGTCTGTTCTCATTTATATCACAGCTTAATTTGTTTATAGTTGATTACTAGACTTTCGTTTCATTCAAATTTATCATTTATCTTCAGACAACTGATAGAAAAGTTAAACTGTCAATTCAAAGTTATACAATTGTGTTGTGGATTACTTATATCCACATAAGTAGTATATGACGATGGTCAGGCAGAGAATGTACTTCACTAGAAGATCGATAAGGAAAGAACGGAACCGGAGCGCAATTAGTATGAAAATGCATGAACAATAATGGTCGGAGACTATGGACTGATATTTGCAGAAGGAACAGTCAAGATTAAGACAATTCATTAATAGTTGAAATCATGAGTCAATTGAAGCTAGACCACCATGGAAAACCTGGAAGCACTGGACAGCCGTTTGGTCCTATTACGGGACTCCTCAACAGTTCATTAATAGTTTGCAAATTAACTTTTTACTGTATGGTTTTTAGATTTTAGTGAGATATTCTGTAATTTTGTGCCCAATTACATTTCATTGTCCCAACTCCTGTTCTTGTTCATTACACAATAATGAGATTAGACTTGCTTAACTTCATTAATAGACATTTGAACAGAGAATAATTATATGAATACATTATACAGTACAATATGCATTGATAATAGTGTAACTTACTTCAATTAAATCATAAATATCAATCATTTCACTACCATCCTTTTTAACTAAATCGAATACGTAATCATAAACGCCCATTTGATAAGAATTTCTGTTAAAAGAAAACAAAAATGATTTGAATACTCAATGAAATAAAGTAATCAAATTTTTATTATTTTAGTAATAAAAAGATGCATTTCAGAGTTGTTGTTCACCCTGCGATTCGAACCCAGTACCGTTCGCTTCAAACGCCATCGCGTTATCCACTCAGCTAATGAGTTTTGATAGCTATTCGCTTGCGCAATTGGGTGAAGTTTGAATTCACTTAGTATTGTTTGTTTGAATCTTCTCATTGATGATGCAGGTGCATCCAACTGACGAGTCTCAAATAGAACGAAACGCGCGTCAAACTGGATTGCTCTGCTAGCCACTATCCACCTTTACTTATAATGCTTGTGAATTAAGGCTATATCGAGGCAAAACGCACAGTATACACATATGGCAATAAGAGACTGACCATTTGCAGTCTAAACATCAATGGGAAGATTCAAACAAACAATAATAAGTGAATTCAAAAAAAAAATAATGTTATCATAAAGAGACTACTGCTTTTTCTGACCTAAACACCCCACAAATTTACATATTCAGTGTTATAAATAATCAGACACAATGTCTATTTCCGTATTTTGTAAAGTTGAATTCACAAAGGCTTTCTATATAGTGTCAGCCTGATGTAAAGACTGTTGAAAACAATTTTTTTATTTTAATGATTTATGTCACTGTATACATGAGTATTTAAACTTGTACTTGAAATCAATTTGCTATGTTTTTGACATATAATAAATACATTGACAGTTGTACATTATACTATTCGTATACTGCGCAATAATCATGATTCATCGATAGAAGTATGGTTCTTAACTATTCCTGTTCTGCTCTGAAATATTGACTTTTGGTACTTTGTTGGTGAAAACGCACCAAAGATTCCTACCAGATTCTCATCAAAAAACGGAAATACATGAAAACGTTTTATTTTAACGAACATTGTCATGTTGATATGGTGATTAACTTTGAACACAATATTGTAGCATCCAATATAGCAGTTTTGCCATCTCAATCAAATATTCTTAGGAAAAACTTGGGTAGTGAGTATTTTTTATGTTATAGTTTATCCTTTTTAATTTAGAAAAAAACTAGATTACTTGTCTTCCGCAATAGACACTATGGGTTCAAACCACTTAAATTGTATATTTTTTTTAGCCTGAGGTCCGTGAAATTGTGTATTTATATACATTTGTTAACAGAAAGAAATCCAGTACTCTATAGCACTTATTATTTGTCCTTTAACATAAGAAAAAGTAACAGTAATCAATTTTCACGCTTAGCTCATGTAAACTTTTGAAACTAATGGGATTATCCGTTAAAACCAAGTACGAATTAAATTCATTTAGTATTGTTTGTTTGAATCTTCCCATTGATGTGTTAGGACTGCAACTGGTCAGTCTCTCATTGGCATATGTGCATACTGTGCGTATTGTCTCGATATAGCCTGAATTCACAAGCATGGTAAGCAAAGATGAATAGTGGCTAGCAGTGGAATCCAGGACGCGCGTTCCGTCCTACTTGGGACTCGTCAGCTGGATGTACCTGTATTTCAAACTTGTTGATGTTCACTCTGGGACTCGAACCCAGCACTTTTCGATTCAAACACCATCGCGTTATCCACTCGGCGACTGAGTCCTGATAGCCAAGTACGAATTATTACTTAAACTACAGTGGTCTAATTAGCACAAATGTGTGTCGGGACACCTACAACCTACAAATAAATACAAATATAATTACAAATTTTAGTCTTCGGAGGACAAAAACTACTACTAATGTGTGTCACATGAAAAAAGATATAATAGTTTCAACAACCTGACTGCAATTGTAAAATTTAAACTTTAGACATTGATTAGTGGACTACAATATGATATACAAATAAAATGAGTAAAAAGAATGTATTAAAGAAAACATGGACAACACAGTTTATTGAATAGTATTTTGTGTCCTTGTTTTACTCAAGACTCTTGACTTCGACTTGAATGATTTTAATACCTCAGTAATCGGATCTCATTACATCAGGTAGCTAAACAATATATTTTTTTTATTCGTAGTCTTATACAATATATGGCATTGATTTAATATTCACGTTTTTATAAACTGACGACTTAAGCTAGTATGTGTTTCGTTCTACGGTACTCTATCAATGTGAATTACGAGCTGTTGATATGTGACATTACAAAACGTGTTTGGTTATGACTAGTTTGATCTTCATTAGTAAACAACACTCATCGTGTGAAATAATTGAGTTCAAACTATTATGTCTGGGAAAATGTCCGTTTCGTCTTTATTTGATTCAGTTTTATAAGTTGGTGGGCGATTTAAAGTGAATCACGATTGCCGAGATGCTGTCACATCCCGTCAGATTCTTTGACTACGTATTTATTTACTCGTGTTCCTTTCCCTCATCTAACCAAACTTTAGCATTTCTTGATTTCCTTTTAAAGTAGAATGAAAACGGATGGTAAGCTTAGTCTGATATAGATTAACCTTCTATAGGTTTATACATTTTTTAGAGCCAAAATATTAATGTTTTTTTATTTCGTAGGCTTTCCTAGGATGTTTACAATCTTAATTATGATATAGTATAATACTGATTACCACAAATTAGTGCAAAGCTAAATTTTTGACACTTATGATAAGAATTCCAGGCTTGACACGAAAAGACTCTTGAACAAAGTCAAAATGGACGAACCGGTCGACTATCGGTCCACACATTCACAATGAATAAATGATCTAAGAGTATAGGTTCTGTTTCTATCTTTCCATATAACTATATCGACACTTTTTATAGCTCTGGTATTTTGATGCTTTTTTCGCAGCTACAAATTACAAAGATATGATTTACGCCTTATGGTGAAAACGAGACAATTATTGAAAATTAACTAACTGTATTTTATTTTTTCCGGTCGCTCCACATTCGATGTTTTTGTGTTTTGAGGCTGCGGTATTCAAAATGTGTAAACTTCTTGTGGTTTTACATAAATGTATGGCCCATTTTTCATTTATCCATGATTTTATATTTTCACAGTTTTTGCTCTAAAAAGATCAAATATCAGCTAGACAATTAAAAAATAGTTCATCTAGATTCCAGACAATTCTTCGGACATAAAAGGAGTTTAAAAATACAGAACCACCAAAAAATATATAAATACTGGCTCTTTAGCAGATGTTTCAGACAAACATGTTCACTACTTTACTCCAGAATTTAGTTATCCTAATTTGGTAGACTAATAATCAAATAAATTCTTGTTATTTGTCATCTTCGTAGGTACCTGACTTGCTACTATAGTGTATATTTTGGTTTTTCGCTACCTATAATATCTGTAGTGATCAAAAACACTTGAAAGTAGAAAACACTATACAAACGTAGAAAAGTTTTTTTATGTAAATGTAAGTACTGTCATGGGTTCCTCTGTATTTATAGGACTTTCTGGTTGAAAATGACTGAGTCCAAAGCTTATATACAGATTAGACCAAAGCTTATCAAGTAGGGTATTCAAGACTATTATATCATTTGGATTGAACACTTCATGGAGATCCTGCTTTCCACCATTTGATTATTTGGATTTATGACTCCACTGATAAATAAAAAGCCAAAAATGAGTGATATTTTCGTTACTCAGTATCTACCTTGTAAATATTTACCTGCTTAGTTCACATTTGCCACGAATCATCAACTTGAAATCACAACCATTTAAACGCCAGATGATATGAAATTGAACTAACACTTAGAACTACAGAGGTTTGAACAAACATGATATTCAGTCAAGTTCAACAGACTTAAGCCATGTTTAGTAATTAAGGCATTCTGATAAGCGAACTTTAACATGACCGAAGACTAACCCCAAATGTCAGTCTAAAACAAAACAAAGGTTAACTGATTTCAGGAAGCTCAGTACAGTAATTTGGATATTAAATGCATTAAGTATTCGAGATTACAAGGAGACGAAGACTGAATAAATACACCAATTCCACCAATCATCTTGTATTAGAATTATGTAATATGTCATTAGAGATACTGTTCAACATGTTTCTTACGCAAAAGTAGGTCAGCCTGTAACCACGGAAAATCATTGAAATTGTTCTATTTTCGATTTACGCGCCTTATTTTGACTCACAAGGTCATTCAAAATAACTATATATACAACAACGGTTATAGCATCATGTTTCTCGAAGCAGTGTATGTGTATTACTGCACATCCATCAAACGTTGTGAAACATAGCACCTGTTTTGTTCGGGCTTGAGAAAATACAGAATTACTCAGTACTGCAATACTTGTAACTAAGTGCAATGTCCAAGATCTTAGTGACAAGTTAGTAGACCAAGAGATTTATCGCATTCGTCTATCGTTGTTTTAGTACTATTCTGGGTTCTTTGTGGCTTCAGATGAAAGTTAATTTGATCACTAGACTGATTTATTTCTGAAATTTCGGTAATCAGCTTTGAATTTGTATTTCATGTAACCTGGGTGGATGGGTTTGTCTCAGGACAGTAGAGTTTCTTGAAGCAGAAGTTATAACATTACAGGTCGAAAAGTCAGTTGGTTGCAATGAGGAGCGTGTAGGAAGAAGTGGCATTTAGAAGAACGAAGACTTGACAATTATTAGACGAGACTGATCAGTTGAGTATTTCCGCTAGCAAAAGAAACGAATATAAATGTCAGATTGACGGGTAAATGGAAAGAAAGAGTAACGAAATGGGAGTGGGTCACTGGTATAAGACGATAGTAATGATAGGTTGAGAGATAGCTAGTTCAGGAGGGACGTTGTAATCCACCGATGAGTAAGTAGTTGTCAAGCCTATATGCTATTCACTGTTTATAGATCATGTTGTCTGGGTACGTGAGCACATCAGCCTCTTCTAGAGTTCGAATTGAATTTGAGACTGATAAGTTTACAGTCATTTTCCTAAACTTCATGTTCTCCAAATAGTTAGCCTTGTACTTAATACACTGATCACACGATATATTTGTATATCACCTTGAAATTGTGAGGTTGGCCATTACCACTTACTGCCTAGAATATAGGCACAAATCCTTCGGACCATAATGTTTTCTGTAAAATCCTTCAAGGATGTTTTGTGTATGAAAATCTCATCACATACACACTTTTGTGAGTTGACATTCTTGATTCCTTAAGATGAACATTTTGTTGATTTTTTGATTCCGAATAAGGTGGAACTTTTCGTATCTTCGTTGTCTTTTTTCTTTTGTCTTCATTGAATTTTCATGTTTTCCGTTAACTACGTCTATGTTGTTTTAGTCAGTATTTATTTATAGTGATTGATTCACTCTCCTTTATGATTGTGTTGCTTGGACTGACTGGAATCGTGAAATTATTTTTGTGAATTGAAACACTCTTCTAGTATTGAAAACATTACGTGTTATAACAAAATTAAATATCACCTTTCTAACAATCTGTACGTGATCTATCCAGAAAAAAAAGAGTAACATTCATGTGTTGATAGAAACATTTGTTTATTGCGCTTGATAATTCTCTTAAATTTCTTATCAACTTATTGTAGTTCAGATGTGACTATTGATCGAACAATTATTGCTGAACAACTGGATTGCACTGTTTGTTAAGAAAATGACGTATGTTTGAGTCTATCACAAAATTTAGGACAGTCATTTACTCAATCACTTTGTTTTAGTTCTTACTACACGAAAGTATGTATCTAAACTAAACTGAGCAGTCACTCATCTCCGTCTATTCCCGCACAAAATATTGAGGAACAGTGAACTGCAAGCTTAAAATTGGTACACATGTGGTATCGGTCGCTTAACACTCGATCTTTGAAGCTGAATATAAGATAACTAGGAAAATCAACATTCAAAAAGTAGAGAAGGCCAGAGATGGTGAACGCGGAAACTGGTCGGTATCACACGGCTCAGCTTTACAGACATGGCCATTATGTGTAAACCATACCTTTTCACATTAAATATGTTATCCCAAACCGAAATGTGTTCTTCAGAAGTACTCGTGTGGACAGTGAAATGTGACTTCTATATTAGCTGGTTGTTCACACCACTCCCAGCTAGCCCGAGTAGGCTCCAATCATTCGGTAAAGTATATCTACGCTGAAGATCTAAATACTATACATCATACTGGCGATTGTCAAGTGGGACGAGTTAGTGTAGAGAGTGATTGCGCGAAATTTGAAAGTGGTAACATTTTTTCACGTGGTCTATAAATTCTTAGACTTGTTCTTTTGTAGGCTGTATTGTCCTTAGATTATCATCCTATCGCGTTTATCGCTCACACTTTACTCTAGGTTAATACATTTTAACCGACACTTGCCCAGTTAATAGAGATTTCACTGATCAGTACTTCCCTATATTATAACTGAGCACTTTTTATCTGTAATACGTTATATACTAATAGTCCCTGATCCTAGTATTAACCCGGTTAATACGTAGAATTAATTATATTCTCATATATATCTGTTATACAGGTTTTTAACTCATACAGCTTCAAAATATGTCAAGTAACTTGGGTAAAAGAAAGATTTCACCAGCTTTCAAGCCTACTAAAAGGTCAAAGTCCGTAACTCCTAAGACTGATGACTCAGTACCTGAAAATGATAAGCATTTATCCTTTGAACCTCATTCTACCTACCCACAAGTGTCACTAACACTACATGATTCTCCAAGTAACAACCTCTCTATTTCTTCGTACAGTATGCCAACGGTAAGACTAGTTGACATAAAAAGCGAAATGCCCACGTGCATCAAAATGTCAACACAGTCCACCAGACCGCATGCTTTGCTTATGCCTAGGTCCAATATACCAAAAACCAAGGAGTCTAACAGTGTATCTCACGTATACGAGAATGCTGATCGATATAGTACTGACATTCGTCAGTTACAAAACTCCCTAGCCGAAATTTACAGTAGACTTAACTAGCTAGCACCCCTCACACACATATGTGGTATTAATACCGATAAAAATCTCGAACACCTCACTAAAGTTGAGTGTATTTTAGATTTTGTGGTTGAAGAAGTGACGAAAAGAATGTTGTCTTCCCACAATGCAGTAGTTTACAATCTCCCTGATCGCATACACCAAAATAAGTTGAGGGATATCTGCCTTAAAGCATGCGATATGCTGAAGGTCAACTGCCAAGTCATCCGCCTTAGAAAAAAGTCGGATAGATTGACTTGCCCTCTACTATTTAAGTTTGGCTGTTGTAACGATGCTAGACAGTTTATTGATTTGAGCAAAAATATCAGCTCATTAGTTCCATACAAAAGCATTAAAGTCACTCCTGACCTAACACCGTGTCAACGTCGTATAAGAAGTCGTGAAGCAATAGAATCGTATGATAGAGTGATAGTAAAAACCCAGCTAAAGACAGTATGCAACAAAATGATTGATATAAAGCGCATGGATAACAAGCATGATGTTATATCACAAACGACTAGTCCATCCGTAGATCTAGATGAGTCTGCAGATCAGAAATCTTTGAGTAAGATACGGTCCCCATCTGTCACTAAAAGGCGTGACGGCATCTCTGATCCCGGGTGTTCGCTCAGTATAATACCAAAATGTGGGCCATGTAACGAAACACACCCAACTAAACATATTCATGTAAAAATTGGTTCCCCAAGAGATACTCCACAAGAGGATTCGAATGAACCTAAGTTCATCTCACAGAGACAAAGAAACTCTTCATCTCTGACAAAAAAGACTGGGGAGATAAAATCCAAAATACGAAATAGGGGGATACTTAAAATTGAGGCCAACTGTTCTGTGGGTATCCCAACAACAGTGAATAGGTTCGATCCGCTGATATCATGTAACTTGCCATCAACACCTCGCACAATGGATAGTACGCTTGAGCGTAACAAACCTTTTTACACGCACACTCACAAAAACTATCAGAATACTGATCACTCCACTCACCTTCTTAAGCCTAAAACCGTTAATAAACATGGTAATTACAAGTTCCTCACCCCACACCCTTTGTACATTCCCCAGAATCACAATTGTAATTACTCTCAGAATTAGAACTTTCCAGTATCAACTCACCACATGAAGACGGCCTCCATATATAACAACAGTCGTAACCACTTCCAGTTACGAGCATCAGACCCCTCTCTTTCTCGCACTAGCGCAAATGGTTATAACAGAAGCTACGAGCTTAACCATCAAAACTGTCTTGCAAATAACAGTACACTTTACAGTCAACATGAACCACATTTTTTTGGAATAAGGCCCCTAGTTGCACCCCTGTTGAAGCACATAGCCCTAGTCATTTCAAACCAAGTGCGGAACATAAACTTGCTTCCCCCGTACAGTTCGCATCAGAAAGTACTCCCACCCTTTCCTCCTGGATAAACTCCCCAAGCAACTTCACTAGCTCATTTGATACATGCCCCAGTAACTCTAGCTATCAAAATACAGATCTATTGAAAAACACTCAATCCATTACCTCAAACATACATCACTCACGCGAGGCTCATGACATCTTTAATCGAGATACTCTCACTCACTTTAACTTCGTAGGCCACTTGTTTAATATGTATCTTATCAACGCTAGGTCGAACTGCAATAAAAAGACTGATTTAGCTCTGTTTGCTTCCATATATCAACCATCACTTATAATGATATCTGAAGCTTGGACTAACAGTAATATTTCCGATTTAAGTATATCTCTTGATAACTACCTCCTATATAGAAGCGATAGATTGAAAGGACGAGGCGGAGGATGCCTTATTTATGCTCACTCTAGCTTAAACTCACTAATATGCGATATACCTGAACTAAACAAACTGAAGGACTCGGTGTGGATTGTTTTAAAGCCATCGAATTCTATTACCTTACTGTTTGGCTGTATCTACCAGCAACCTAAATTGGCAATAGGTGAAATAGCAGTATTATCAGAGGTATTCACACTAACATCATCCCTTCCATTCACAGGCAAGCTCATCTGTGGTGACTTCAACATGCCTGAAATTTCTTGGTTTCCAGTCAAAGCTCCGAAACGTTATGAATCATTTATTGAATGTCTAGAACTAGGACAGTAGACTCAATATGTTAGTAGCCCTACCAGACATCAAAATATCTTGGACTTAGTCTTTACCAGTGGCATCACCCCCAATACTGTGTATATTGGAAAAAAGTTTCCAGGTAG